GGCAGTGTTTGAATTCACGGTCAGAAAAAACTTTTTCAAAGCCTATCCTCTTTTTAAAATGTATTCTAGCAAGACCCTATTAAATAGCCAAATGCTTTCCTTGTATTTGTCAGTAAGTAACGAGCCAAATCCTGACCTGGTCAGTAGTGAGCATGGTAGCTGGAATTCTGGCTTGATGCATCCTCTGCCCCACAAATACTCCTGGCAGAGCAGGAGTCCATGGGCTGGGCTGAGGGAATGAATGGCGAATTGCACACTGCTGCTATTTTCAAAAGGCATAGGGTATCCCAGGTTAATGAGGCAGATGGCCACAAACCTGCTGCCTGGATGGGGGGTTGGCAATGCTAGTTGTGGATGCAGTCCACCAGCTGGTTTAGGAATATGTCTACCCCTCAGTGCCCCCTGAGTATTAAATTATAATCCTTCTCCGCTCTTGTCCTGTGGAAAGAAGCTCTCCCTGCTCCCCTGACTGACACACATGTATATCTTAGAGCAGGATCTGGCCTTGTGTGCCAACACAGTGGTTATTCATTGTGTGCCAACAGCAATTATTCTTGTTTCTTGTGAGAGTAAGTTCCATAGTCTAGGTCCAGTTCCTGTGAAAATCCTATCTCCTGCAGTCAAAAGCTATCCCTGTTGGTTAATAGAATCATTGTTCCAGTGGAAGGTAGCAGTTATAGCCACGGGGGAGAAGCAAACTCTCAGATAGCTCAGGCTAATCACATGGAGAGCTTTGAATATCAGGAGAGAGAACTGGATTCTCTGTTTATTGGGAAGATGGTACAGAAGGCAGAGTATTGGAGTCATACGGTCTGTTTAAGATCAGCTGGTGCAAAATGCAGCAGCCTGAGCGTTTTCAGGGTACGTGACTTCATTTCTAGACAGGAATTGCAATCCTGAAGTCTGGAGAACCCGCATTTGGATCACAAAATGGGGCACAGTCTTCTGCTGCAGTTGGTGGTGGGTATTTTTTGCTACCGTAGCTATTTGAGCATCCAGTGGTTGTGAGGTCTCCAGTATGCTTTCGTACTGTCACAAACTGTGCATCACATCCTTAATCATCTGAGAAAAAAAGGAAGCTGCTGGTTAGGAATGTATTTACTTTACTCTGAGGGAATGATCACAAGGCTGAAAGTCAGGAGGTCCTGACTTTTGATCCTGCCTCTGCCAATTCACTCATCATGTGGCCTTGGCAGAGTCACTTCACTTTTCTCTCTCTTTCTCCATCTGTAAAGGGAATAACATGCTTATCCATCTACCTCACAGAGGCGTTGGGAGGATTAATTCATTAATATTTATACAGTGCCTGGAATTCATGCAGCACTATATAAATGCTAAGTACTGTGCTTAATAATGTATTTTGCCAAGTGTGCTCACCCTGAGTTCTGAGCACAAATACGTTCAAAAATAAATGTTTCTAAATAGAGGCTGTATAGAATTTAAAAAACCAACCAGCGCCCACCAGAAATCAGACTGTTCCCATCTCCCTACACTGGGTGAAACCCAGGTCCTAATGGGAGTTTTGCCACTCACCTCGATGAAGCCAGGATTTCACTCATCATCCCTGTCAAAACCCACTTCCTGGAGAGATCCTGGGAAAATAGGTCAGCTTTGCTATGTACCCTGAATGTCCTCCTCATTATCTAGATCCTGCTGACTGCTCCTTTCTGCTGAAGCCTGGGGACTGTCTAAGTCACTTGATAGAATGATAGGAGAAAAGCTACAGAAATGGTTGTTAAATGGGATTTTAACAAAATTGTATCTGGTCTGCCAGTAGAGTGTGGCAGTGACCCTGTTAAAGATAAGGAGTACTTGTGGCACCTTAGAGACTAACCAATTTATTTGAGCATAAGCTTCAATGATGCATCCGATGAAGTGAGCTGTAGCTCACGAAAGCTTATGCTCAAATAAATTGGTTAGTCTCTAAGGTGCCACAAGTACTCCTTTTCTTTTTGCGAATACAGACTAACATGGCTGCTACTCTGAAACCTGTTAAAGATAGTGTCACCATGCCCTGGGTTTAATATTAGAAAGCGTGAAAGAGACCCTATGGTGAGTTACCAGAAAAGATCTATTGGCTGCCCAGTCTCACTGTTCAGATAAGACTCTCCTTTTAAAAAGAAGAGAGACAGTTAAGAGTCCTTTGAGTGTTAATGACAGGTTTCAGAGGAACAGCCGTGTTAGTCTGTATTCGCAAAAAGGAAAGGAGTACTTGTGGCACCTTAGAGACTAACCAATTTATTTGAGCATGAGCTTTCGTGAGCTACAGCTCACTTCATCAGATGTATACCGTGGAAACTGCAGCAGACTTTATATACACACAGAGAATATGAAACAATACCTCCTCCCACCCCACTGTCCTGCTGGTAATAGCTTATCTAAAGTGATCAACAGGGAAATGGCCCACCTGTTGATCACTTTAGATAAGCTATTACCAGCAGGACAGTGGGGTGGGAGGAGGTATTGTTTCATATTCTCTGTGTGTATATAAAGTCTGCTGCAGTTTCCACGGTATACATCTGATGAAGTGAGCTGTAGCTCACGAAAGCTCATGCTCAAATAAATTGGTTAGTCTCTAAGGTGCCACAAGTACTCCTTTTCTTTTTGAGTGTTAATGTGTGTCTGCGTAATGGGAGAAGGCCTTAGCTTGTGAGCAGGGAGTGCATTAGTAATGAAAGTCACAGATGACAGTTTGCTGCCCTTGACAACCTTGATACCAAGTTTATTTTTTGAATCCCTACATGTGCTTATGGGAGGGAAAAAACAGCTTGTGGAAGGAAAAAACAGATGAGGGCTGTTTCTGTGTACAGAATTTCAGTGGCTGAAAGATGGATTCAAACTGGTAATTAACAAGGAAAAACACCCAGCTTCTGAGTCCCATATACAGTCAGTGCAGTCCCCCAAAGGCAACTGACGATGTGTTTTGAGGCACACAAAAATGATCTCAATTTGCTGTCCTTGTGGAGCCAAAATTTTACTGTATGTCAGTGGCTTGAGGAATACAGGATCGGTCATGATATGTGTCAAGTTTCCAGTTCTCAAAGGCATGATGGAAAGAAGACATTTCTTTCAGTGCTACGAACTGAAACTTGGCATACTTTTTTGTTACTTGTGAAAAACTGAAGTAGATCCTATTGCCTGTTTTATTCTAACAGGCTGCATTTAAATCCCTGAAGGAGACAGATTTTAAGAGAGACATGACCATAATTAGCTCTTCAGAAAGAGCTGCTGATCTTGTTTATTACTTGTTTAATTTCTAGCAGCCACAAGTGTGCAGCAAGCACTTCACAGAAAACAGGACCTTCCCCTTGCAATCTAGATGACAGACTTGACCAGTAGTTGAGGATGTCACACACACAAGGGGGATGAGATGAGAAGGACCCAGGTTACAGAAATAAACTGGTACAGTTACTCATTTGGTGACTCTTACATCCAATTATAACAGAAAACAGTGACTGTGAAGAGATTCACAGTTAAATGTGAAATGTATACTGATGAACAGACTCTCAACACCTGCCCAAAATAAAGAGGGGGAGGGCTCAGAAAATAACTAAGGGTGTGCACACCATGCCTGCATGTTGGAGAACGTAGGGTATCTTTCACACTTAACTGGTAGAACTGGAAAAAAAATCCTCTTTCATGTGTTTAAAACATGCTGAGGTAACACTCCTAAGTACTGTTAAAGGACTTAGTAGCACAGGTGCCATTAATATTAATAATACTTGGCACTTCTATAGTGCCTTTGACTTGAAGATTTCTAACTGGTTCATATTAATTCATTAAACTTCATAACACCTGTTTGGAATAGGTAAATATCCCCATTTTACAGATGGGGAAACTGAGGCACGGAGCTGTTAAGTGACTGCACCAAGGTAACAAAGCAGGTCAGTGGCAGAGATAGGAGGACTCCTGGGTTCTATTCCTAGCTCTCAGCCCCATGCGCTAATCACCAGAACAGCTAGCTGTCATTAATGCGGTGGAAGCTAACGTAGTCCTCATCCAGCTCCAAACAAAGAACGAACCAAAATATGTGACTATCCCCCTGCTGTCTGGAGTATTGACAATAAAGATTATTCCAAAATAATATTACATGAACCCCCAGCCTCAGCCTGAGCAGACAGTTTATCAACTCCCAGGTTGCCTTCTTCCTAGACCTATCTGCTCCTGATTTTACTTCCTTGAGGGACTACCCATCCCACACCTAGCTCCCTTTTCCAGAGCACTCTTCCTACCTCCCTTATATTCAGGGTGGACTCTAATTAGCTGCAAGGGCCCCAGTGAGTTAACAGTAATTATCCTGCAGGTCCCCACATGTTCCAACACTTGCTAACAGAATGGACAAGAGGGGAATCCTGCCATTGTGTTACATGAAGTAATCAAGCTAAATCACCATTTACCATGCTGAAAATGTACCCCACCATACACAACTAAAATGTATTCATTCAGAGGCTCATAAAGGGAAGCAAGGATTTCTAGGAGATCAGCTCTTTGATGGAGGTAGAGAAGCAGATGGAAAAGAACAAATGCACACCCCACAATACCAGGAAATAGGTTCTGTGTGGCATGCTCTCTCAATTTTGTTGAAAGATCATTGCCCAGTAATCCAGGAGAGGGGAAAAAATCCTTGGCAGTAATCTTGGGATAAAATTCCTCTCTGGCCTCAAACATGACCAACATGTTAGATCTGTGTGAATGAGCAAGAGTCACCATAGATTTGCATCTAAACTCACTTATAACTTGAGATACAATAACAATAGTATCCAAGCTATTGTCAATATTTTCCCCTTATCATTTGATAGAATTATTTTCACTCCCTTTCAGCTGGACAGTTCCGAAATCAGAAAGTCACTTTTGTTATTACCAGTTATTGGAAATCTGCCTCCTCCAGGCACGTGCCATTTCACAGAACCACATTGTGCCTTGGGAGGAGGCTCTGAGATTGGGAGAGGAGAGACAGCTTCTGGGTGTCATGTTAATTCTGCTGCTCCCCTTGGTTGCAGGCAGAGGACTGGATTAATGAGCGCATGCAAAAGCTGGAGGACCCTTCCATCCGAGACCACAGCAACCTGAAGGATAAAATGAAGCTGCTGCAGAAACATCAGGTCTTTGAGGCTGAGATTCTGGCTAATGAGGAGATCATCACAGCTGTTAACAAGGTAACTCCGACACTCTGCTACTATCTGCTGCTATTGCAGGTTCATTCTGCAGAAGAAGAGGGGGAAGGAGCTCAAAGTGAGTATTAAATATTCCCCAGCATAGTGTCAGTTCTCCATCTCCTTCCATCTGAACCAGAGACCATCCCTTTCTGTGTGGCAAGAATCCTGGTGGTATTTCATAGGGGTGACTGGAATGTCACTAATGCAAGGTGTGGGAATCCCATTAATTGTCCATGTGTGGTTTCCAGGGGACTTCTCTGTTTCCGTATTCCTTACATGGGAAGGAGCCACTGACTTCCCCTGCTAGTACTGAATCTTCCTGATCTTGGAAAGAAAATGTCATACCATGTCTGAATCATCTTCCTGAGAGTGAGTGAATCATCATCTGGAAGATGTTTATCTGAAATACCCTCCCTTGTGCTTCCAACCTCTGAATTTCACCTTGCCCATGGAATGTTCAAGCCTAATGTTCTTGACTGCGTCAGAATAGTGCAGACTCTCCTACCAATTATTGAAAATAATGGCTGAGTATTCACAGTTTGAGGGCTCTTGTAGTGGAGTTTTGTTGGGGGTGAGGAGAAGGAGGTCCGCCTAGAAAGATCATGTAACCCTTCTGTTAGTGGTAAACTTCCTTTCTAATTCTCTCTTTCTGACATGAAGAAAGGGGAAGCCCTGGTGTCACAAAGCCACCCAAAATCAGGGGAGATCTGTCGTAGGACCCGTATGATCCAGGAGCACTGGGAGAAGCTGAAGTGGGCTGTTGCTGCTCATGGAAAGATGCTGGAGGACATTCGGGACTTCCTGGAGTTTCTGCAGAAAGTGGACCAAGTGGAGGCCTGGATCAGGGAGAAGGTACATGGACTCTATTCTTTAACTGGGGCAAGCAAGCCCATGGTGCTATATATATGTTTTTTAGTAATGAACATTTGATGATGATATCAGCTTTCAGGACATTTACATTGTGTCTTTTGTCCTGGGGGACTTTAAGGGCTTTACAGATTGTATATAGGGAATATCACAGCAACTGTTAAAACGTTCTGATATGTTTCCATGCCAGAGTTGGAATTTGCCTAGGACACCAGTATTTGCCTAGGACATTCCTATTCATTCACAAAGTGTCATGGGATCTATAGAGACCAAAGGGTTCAGGGCTCTGCTTTTACATCTCCTCTGAAACAAAGATATGAAAAAAGAATAGAGACTACCCTAAGCACCTGAAATCCTAAATTCACTAAATTGTGTATTAAATCTGAGACATTTTTCTTATAAGAATGTCCAATGAGAAATATGTAGGGCCTTGATCTGGAGGTCAGTAGTCATATTTCACTAATAGGGCACATGCTGTTAAGGATGGGAAGTTCATACTAAGTGGTGCAATGGATTAAGGCACAAGTGCAAATGAGTTAGGGGGTGACCTCACCATAGTCTCTGAACATCTGTCTACATCACAAAACTATACAAAATTTAACATCATTGGTCAGTCTCTGCTCAATAGAAGCCCCTAAGGCCAGTAGAAAGGGAGTTTCTAGAAATGGAATGAAATGCATTTTCAGAGCTGGGGGGCAGGACTACAGGAAAGGTCCAGGGTTTGCAGGTCATGATTTAAAATGCACTTAGAGAGTGGTATGAGAGAAAACACCATCCCCCGCTGCCCCATGCTCTAGCACTTTCTTACTTATGGAAGTACTTCACTTTTATGAACCCTAAAATCCACTTTAGGGGGAGAAAAATAAATAGAGAATTGTATTCGGGTTTCAAACTAAGCACTCCGCTACTTGATCTCAGTAACAAAAGCCATCTTTTAGATCTGGGGAATCCAATCTCTATTCCTTGTATCAGTTTCTGCAAGTAACGGCATATTATGCAGTGTGCCAGGACATTCAGTAGTCAAGGCGCATGGGTGAGCAGCAAAAAGTGGGATATGATATTCAGGGACACAGAAAACTTCCACTTAAAACATTATTGGGCCCTCATGTACAAAATTTCCATCACAACGGATATTGTGTTCCTGGAGCGTATGGTTGTGGGATGAGTGAAATCACTTTTGGTTTATCAGGAAAAGGAAAAGCCATAGGAAATGCTGGCTGCTTGCATTCCGGGCCTGAAGCAATTCCCGTGGTTAGTTGAATATCCACCTAACCGTTTTCCCTTTCCCCAGGAAGTGATGATTAATATTGGTGATATGGGGAATGACTACGAACACTGCCTGCAGCTCATGAAAAAGCTGAACGAGTTCCGAGGAGCAGCATCAGGGGTGAGAGAAATTTCCATGCCTAGTCCCCTATGCCTGGTATGGCTTAAACCAAAAGCCAGCTTTTCAGCACAGAAGCGCATCACAGCCACTTGAAGCTATTTCATTTTCCTTAGGGGAAGGAAGAGCAGAAAGAAGTGTAGAGGGATTTGCCAGTTCACAAGCTGTTAGAATAGCTATTATCCTCTTTCCTTGCATCACTACATCAAATGCCTGATGACATCTTAACAGAGCTTTACAAATGATCACAGTGAAATCTGAAACTTCGGATTGCATTGCAAACCTGAAACTCTTTTGAGTGATCCTGGGCTAGATTTGGAGTGAGCTTCAAATGGGTTACACTTTTGGATAGAAACTATGCAAAACTCTGTGTGTTTCACCTCAGATCAGGCATCTTGGTGGTTTCAGGTGAGGTTCAGCTTGGGTTGGTTTGGAACCTGTAACACATTCCAGACCTTCATGAACCGAACCTCCAAAAAGAGGTCTGCTGTGGAGCAACAACACACTAGCTGCCTGGTTCAGCTTTCTTTGCTGAGATCTCTGAACTATCGTCCATGGTGAGAAACTGCAGCCGGCTTTCTCGCACCCCAATTGGTGCGCTAATTTCGGCACAGGCAAATAGGTTTCAGTGTACATTCAAGAAAGAATACCTGCATTGCATTGCTGATGTGCTAGCCTGGGAAACCTAATTAAGATCTGGAGGGGGAAATATTAGGTCTGTCTGTGGGAGTTTCCTGTAGTATTATCTGCCCACAGTCCCTATGTCCTTCCCCATATTGCTGCCAACCTCTGTCAGAGCATCTCACATCTTCCCTTTCTGTCCCCTAATGGCAGAAGGAGAAGCTCATACTATGCATAGAAGGAGAGCCCTGAGATGCCTGGGACCTGGAGAGAAATTCTGGGTTTTCCTTTTCAGTGCCTCCCATTTCCAGAGTCACTATGAGAATGCAGTAGTGTTGCATCTAGGCAGAGAACCAAAACTGTCACACTTCAGATATCAGTGAAGTGAGGCCAGAAGAGTTTAAAAGAAACCTTCATTGGCCCTTCAGCCCTCACCTGCAGAGTTAGTGTCTAAGGGACAGTACAAAGAGGCTGATTCAGGTAGTGGCAGCCAATAAGAAGAAGAGTTAGGAGTTGGGGAGGTGGGAAGGGAGGAACAATATAATCCTCAAGTCACTCTGGGAGTCTGGATAGGGAAAAATCTCACCTTGTCTATCTATAAATGAGATAGCTCTTAAGTGGGTCATGTGCCTAGTTTCTGTGTTAGGTAGCAGAGAATTCCTATCATTGGCAGTTCTCCTGCGCTGCTCCATAGACATCTCCAAGAGGCTGGCATTGTAGATGCTGTGATGATCACCCTCATAACAAGTGCTCAGTCATAACACTAACACAATGGCACAAGCAGAGAGAGGCTAGGCCTGGGGTAACTGCTTGCACCCTTCTAGCCAGTGATTCTTCACCAATCTCATAGGGTTACCTGCCAGGCGAACCTGGGATTAGGATGAGTAACGATCCTAGGAGCAATGATCCCCAGCCTGGGCTGCCTATACACCTCCCACTCCTGCTGGTTTACAGCCCAGTGGCTGGATTGAGAATTAGCAGCATGGAGATGGGGTGTATATATTTATTCAGGGTTTCTGGCAGTTGGGTCAGTTCCCAACCTCCAGCATAGGCAATGTGGGGTTCTGATTCATTAGAATAGTTTCTGCTGGATCAGATGGATTATATTCAATGTAGAATGCTTTCAGTGTGTTCACTTTCCAGCTGTGTATTATAGCAGAGTACATTTAGAAATATGCACAGTGGTATGTACGTAGCATATATAAAATGCAGATGGAATCAATACTTCTATTATCCGAGTGTTGGCATCCTGCCGATGTGCCTCTGCTAGACCATGATTAATGTCTCCCTGATGAGAATGTGATTTACTGGACTTACTGCAACATTTGATATTTTTGAGTGTTGGAATGCCTCTATTTTGCATTTAGTGTCATGTACTGTTGAGAACTCGCTGCAGGTCATGCTTCAGAAGAACATCCTTAATGTGGCATAGCTCAGATAATGAGTTTATGTGCAAATATTATCCTTTCCAAGGTATATTATGTGGGAAGCAAGCAGAATAAAAGATGTATACAATTTAAGGTAGAATTATGTTTTTAAAAGAGAATGGGGTGATTTGTTTGACAGCTATTTCCACTCTGATTAGATAAGAAGCACTTAAGGTCCTTGTATAGAACTATGACCATTGTTGGTTTCATAGTGATGTCCCTCCTTATCCCCACTCCATCTTTATCTAAGACTGATACAAGAGTGCTGTATCAGGGAAGAGTGTTTGGATCTGAGATCGTCTGTGCAGCTGACACAATGATGGGCATTTGGGGCACACAAATGATATTTTCTTGTTCTGGCCTCATAGGAAATGACAGTGGATGATGCTCACATCAAAACCATCAATGCCCTGGCCATGAAACTGGAAAGACAGAACAAGGAAGAGGTGAAGACAATATATCAACGCCAGAAGCAGCTCAATGAAAAGTGAGTATACATTCCAGGTTCTGGACGCTGGAAAGTTCAGTCAAAGCTGTTCTAATGGTTTCATGGCAGGAAGGGAAGGGTAAGCTTCTGCTAGGCTGGGCTGGGCTGTACAAAGGCTGGGGATACAGACGGAAATTTTCTCCATTTAAGCAACCTGTTCCACAGGTATGACCTACAAAATGCTAGCTTCCACCTCTAGCCAATAAAGCTTCTGTAGTGACTGTCAATGCATCACTTCAGTTGGCCAGAAGGGTTTCCCATTCAGCAAAGCAAAATTCATCTTTCCAACCTTGGAGATGAACATGCTTTCCCCACAATCAAACCCTGGTAGCTTAGAGTACTTCCAATTGGTCATTGGGTTGCCCAGGTGAAGTTTTAACAGGATGTCTTGCTCCCTTCCTGCTCTTGTAGACTCTCGTGGCTGGGATGAGCATAGCTTGGATTATCAGGGTAATAGAATCCTGGAGATACAGGTGGTGAAGCCAGCCTTGGATACCCAGCCTGACCTCTATATTTAACAGAACAACTCCATACCTCATTCCCACTAACATCTTGTCAAATTGTCTCTGTTTAATGTCTGCCCTAAGGCAGGTTTTCTAGCTCTTCTCCAAGCTGCTGACCCCACAGCAGACTCTCTCTCCTCACAATAGATTCTCATTTTCTCCTTGTTTTCTCCCTGTGGCCACCATCTCCTGTCCCCAGTCTGACCCTGTCTGGCTCCAAACTAGTTCCATCCCAACCCCCTGAAAACCTATATTCCTGGCCAACTTGTCCCACTTCTGCTGGCTCACAGCCCGGTGGCCAAATTGACAATCAGCAGCATGGAGACGGGATGTATGGGTTTGTTGAGGTTTTCTGGCAGTTGGGTCAGGACTTGTTCCATGCAAGAGTCCCTCCACAGTACTGGGAACCCCCTCTTATCCTCATCTGAGATCCCCTTACCTACACTCTAAAAAATCCTAGGACAGTCACTTTCCGACATATTAATTCTTTACTTATGAGATGTATCTGGGCTGCTGTGGGAAAAAGGAGTCCATGGGTGAGGAAGCTCAGAAATCCCATGTTTGAATGCGATCTAGCTGCAGCTCTGGAAGTTCTGATATTCATGCTCTCCCCTAAACCTGACTTTCAATAAAAGGTGGACCAGTTTCCATGGTAACCTGAATACATACAGGAGGAAGCTGGAGGGAGCCCTGGAGATCCATGCCTTAATCAGAGAAATTGATGACATCACGGAGAGAATTAGTGAGAAGGTGAGCTGCTCATGATTGTGTTAATTGAACGGGTTTCACCCACTGAGAAAAATCACTTCATCTTGAAGATAAGTGTGCACCCTGTAAAAGTGGATAAACTCCCATCCATCCAATCATTATAGAGAGAATGAGCATTTAGAGGTGATCTATTATAATAGCCTCTGTGCAAAATGGGAATGGCAAAACCTCTTTAACCAAACTGTAAATCATGAAGCAAACTCAGCCAGAGTAATATACCGCTTCACTATCCCTGGGGTTGCCTGTGAATCAGAGTCTGTAGAAAGACTGAAATGCAGGCAAATATAATGAAGACTTCTAGTTTGAAGGTATTGATAGTAATTGTCAAAAATTCCAGATTAGGATCAGAAATAAACATTTTTCAGTTAATACTGAAATATAGATTGCCTGGGACTTTTTAGCTCAATGCCTAGACATTCAGGAGATGATTGGATACTTTAAAAGGGACATAGCAAGGTACAGTGGATAAGATACTAGACTAAGTCAAGAGATACAGGGTTCTATTCCTTGCTGTACCATTGACTCAATGTGTGGCCTTGAGCAAGTCACATAATCGCTCTTTGCCTCAGTTTCCCCATTTGTAAACTGAGAATAATAATACCCATCATTGCTTTTTGCTTTGAAATCTATGAAAGAAAAATGCTATATAAGGACTAAGTATTATTATTTCACATGTATGATTTTATATCATTCGTATATGACTTTATATATCAGCAGACACACATACAGTAGCACTTGTTAAATTTGCAAAAAGAAGAGGAGTACCAGTGGCACCTTAGAGACTAACCAATTTATTTGAGCATGAGCTTTCGTGAGCTACAGCTCACCTCATCGGATCCGATGAAGTGAGGTGTAGCTCACGAAAGCTCATGCTCAAATAAATTGGTTAGTCTCTAAGGTGCCACAGGTACTCCTCTTCTTTTTGCGAATACAGACTAACACGGCTGCTACTCTGAAACTTGTTAAACTTGGTAAACAATTTGTTGTAAAATTTTCCATAACAATTTTTGCCAATTAATTCATGTTCCTCTTACGTCTCCAAAATGTCACTTCTGGCAAAATTTTGAGCACTCAAAAATTCCCCTCAAATTTTCACAAAATGCACTTACATTGCAATTTTATGTATGATAAAGTCCCACCTGAAGTTGTCTTTGGCTATTAGCATTATGGTTTATGGAAAAATAGACTGGGAGGGATGAAGCAAATAGAAAGTCTCTCTCGTGCTTTTGTGCTTATACACAAGCATGCAGTTACACACCAGGTCAAGCAGGGTTGGAACTGGTCAAGGAGTTCTGAACTCTTGTTCTACCTTCATAAGTGGCACAGAGAGTTGTCGCGATCATTGCATCGTTGAAATTTAGGACGCGGATAAAAGGAAGGTTTTAAGAGAGAAGGAGAGAGGAAACATTTGAAGGAACTGAGATATGATCCTGTTGTTTTTCTCCTTCTTCTGCCCTACCCCCCAAGAGTGCACTGATACAAGCATTGGATTACGGGAAAGACGTGGAGAGTGTGGCAAACCTGATGCGACGACATGAGGAAATGGAGAGGGAAATCAGTGTCATCAAGTCCAAAATGGAGGTCAGAGGCTGGGAAGGTAGAGGGTACAGAGTGGGGCTGCTAAAACAATGCTCTGTTTTTGTTTCTTTGTCTATGCTAAAATGCTTGATAAGCTCCTTCAGAGAGGCTTAGTACAAGATGAACTGGGAAGGGAACATAGCAGATAGACAATTCCAAGGTCCTCAGAGCAGACTTCTTTATAATGAACTATTGTAGTTCCTTTGTGTTCCCCTCAATTTGTCATATGAAATGCCCACCCTTCTGAAGTACTAAAGCTGAGAAGGACGGGAACGTATTATTTTAGCGTATTATGTTTCTCTTATTTGGAGATGGTTCCACATCTCAGTGCTGGATTGGACCTTCCCTGAACTTGTGGAAAGTATGGATCCAGATCCCTATCACATCTTTGCAACTTGGCTTCTATATCAGCAATGGACTAAACCAAAAATTTGTATCCATTTCTGTTCTAAAAAATGGAAAAACACAGTGGGCACAATTTCCAAGTGTCGTCCCCTAAACAGAATGTCCAAATGTCACATTTTAATGCTCTAAGCAGCTTGTATGCTTGCAAAATTGACCTTTACATGAGTAAGGGCTAATATCTGGATCCTGTTCCAACTTCAGAGGCAGTAGCACAGGTTGTCACAGGTCCAGTCTGTACCCCGTCCTGGCCATCCACAAGGCAGTTGTAAGGAGAATTCAAGGCTCTGGATTCTTGAATCCCTGAATATTTTAAGTTTCTAGGGCCTAAACGGGATCGAGACACTGGCCCAACGTTAGGGTCCCTAGGCACACTCGTGAAACAGAGACCTATCTGGCACCCCTTTCTGAGAGTGGGAAACAGCTGTCCAGCTTCTTAGCCCCTTTGGGTACAGGGCAAACCTTCAGACTCCCATATACTTAAACACACCCTCTCCCAGAACCCCACCAAAAGGTGTGAGCCTGCTGATTTACCATTTGAGTATCTCTGGAAGCTAGTAAGTAGTTGAAAAGCATTTGATACAGAGAGACGCTTTTCCCAGAGTCAGTTGCTCTTTCACTTAATCATGTAAAGCACAGGAGAGTATACATCATGTATAGAACATGACAAACATCCTAATTGCAATGACCTTCCCTACCTCACCCTTCCCTTGGGAGTCCTTGGGGAACCATCTGGGCTCAGGAAAGCAAGCAGGGCCCCCTCCTTCATGCAGGTCCCTATATGCTGGGTTGTTTTTCTTGCCTCTCTAGCTGGATACAAAATGGGCAAAGACCCAAACAAATCAGCTCCTCCCAATTTATAACTCCTAGCCAGGGCCGGATTTGGCACAGTAGGCACAAGACTAAGGGCACCGGCGTTCTAGGGGCTCCTTACCTCTCTAAAACTGTGTGCAACACAAAGGTCAGTTGTAGGCGGGGGCTGGGGAGGGGGCGTGCTGAAGATGCTGTGCCTAGGGTCACGTAGGTTGTAAATCTGGCCCTGCACTTAGACCCTTTTGTCAGGCAACATGCTTGCCTGCTTCCCGAGGTCACCAGAGATCTCTGCCAGGTGACTTCATTGCCAAGGCAACTTCTCCCTTTCTAAGCTTCATTCGGAGCCATCCTGTGGTTTAGAGCAGTTCCCCTTCAACGGAAGAGCACTTCACTTCAGCAACTCTTTCTTGCTATTCTTTTGCTACCAGTCTTTGGAATTCCAGCCCAACATGGAGGCAAATAGACAACAGAGAAGGGAAAAGGCTGCATGTTCAAAATGGAGTTTGCAGCCTGGTAAAGATAAATTCATAAATTGTAGAGAGATTCCCAGTTAGTCACGCAGGTCACATGAGTTAGTGTTCCCAGTTTAATTACCAGCTGGAGATTTAAGGATAATTGCTTATTTTGAATGCGTGTTTGGAGGCCACACATTTATCTCAGCTTTCTTTGGAAAAAAAAATGCAAAGATAGAGAACATGTGATAAATTCATAAAATAATACCCCACTGGTTAATTTTCGTAATATAAAAAAGCTGATTATTAGTGACAATCCTATATATTTATTGTCTATTCCACACATACGATTAGTCATGTCCTGCAGTAAATTTAATGTGGGATGAGTATCTTTTCTGATGATTCTACCCCCCTCGCATATATATATATATATATATACACACACCCACACACACTTCCTTATGGATTAAATCAGCCTGGCAAAATTCTGTTCACCAGAGACAAATATGTTTTCTTGGTGGGCAAGTTACATTCTTCCTTCTACATTTTTCACTATTTATAAATATATATGTTTCTTTTCATCTTTATGGTGGAGGGTGGGGGATCCAGATGGTAATCCTGGGCAATTTGGCCAGGCTGTGTTAAATAATGCCAGTAGAACCTCACTAAATAGCACTTCAGTAAACCACAAACCCACATTGAAAATGATGTTTTGTGACCACAGTTTACTGAAGCAGAGACCAATGAGCTTCTGGTCCTGTGCTGAAGGTCAAGCCGGTGTCAGTAACATCATGTTCCCGTCAGGCCAGTGGGAGTGCATCACGTTACTTCCTGGCAGTCACTGATGCTCTGAAACAGAGCTAGGAATTAGCTGCTGGTGCACCTCATTCACAGCACAGTCTAGGACTCAAACTGCATCCATCCACAATGGGCCTGCTCCCATTTGTGCAGATTAGTGATGTTCTGCTGTACAGTTGTTTAAGGCAGTATCCTGGTAGTTTGTTTTTTCACATGCTCTCTGAACTGCAAAATTCAGCAGTGGACCATGAGTCATTTGGGAGAATTAGAGGTTCTTCTGTAGATTTTGTTTTGGTTTTGGAATATACATTAAAACCTGTAATCTACAGCCAATTATCTACCAACATTTGTTTTTATTGGTTTGATGCCCCTACACTGTGAGGTTCCTTTGCCTCACTTGTAGCTGCCGTCACTTCTCATTCAAGTCACCAGTATGAAAGGACAAGAAGAAATCCTGTTTTAGCCACCTCTCATGCCAATGGTGTACATCCCAATAAAGCAGAGAAGCTTGTCTCTCTCACCAACAGAAGCTGGTCCAATAAAATATATGACCTCGCCCACCTTGTCTCTCTAATATCTTGGAACTGATACAGTTACAACAACACTGCATATAGAGGAGAAAGCGTCCTGGTTACTTACGGGTGAAACGTTCAAACATCAGCGCCTAAGTGGTGCCAATAAATGTTCTCACACACACAGAAAAACAGCATCTGTAAGTGTCAATTGACGTGTGTGTGAAAAATAGCATAGAGTTACTTGGTTTGTGCATTTGGATGATTATTTGCGAACAAAAATGTGGAGTCTGCACGCAACAACTGCCTGTGTATAATTTGTTGCCACAATTTTGGCACCCATGTTTGAAAACTGAGCCCTTAAAATAAGCCGCATGCTTTTCCTCCAAGCGATTGAGTGGAAAGGCTAGCTCATAGGAACCAATACAATAATTAATCTGAGTAAACGTAGTCCATTATAACTCTCTCCTCAGATACTGGAGTTGGAATCTTTCCGCCTTTGCAAGAGGAATCCATCCATAAATGACAAACTGAGTACAAAGCAAAGAGAGATGAAAGACAACTGGCTACGACTCCAGGGGCAGGCCAAACAAAGGTAAAGCCTTCTACGAGGCTACTATCTGAATCTCTGTCAACAGAAACAGAGCTGCTCCTTGGGGCCCTGAAAGCAATTGCCATGGGCCACCAAAGTTCTCTGGGGACTTCATACAATATCCAGTGCAGACAGCTGGGCTTTACTTCTGCAGCAGAATGTGGTTACTTTAATGGAATTTAAGTTCCACATACATATTTTTTATGTAAAATGAGTCCAGTAAGACTGTGGTTTATCCCAAAAATAATCTCTCTAAATTCCCCCAAATCCTCTGACCAGCCCTGGTGAGATCACTGTGTGCAGCAGTTATGTCTGGGTGGGGACAGAAGATTGTTTCTCAGGCCCATCCAAAAATGCAAAGGTTGGCTCTGAGCAGGAATCATCACTTAAGGGAGTGGCTGTGAAGGATTTTATAGTTGCTCCAGTTCTGGCTTCTCATGAGGAATCACTGAAGAAATAATGTCATCATGGTGATTCCAATGCAGTTTGCAGCTACTGTGAGCTCATCTTAACAGCAGCACTATAAGGAGTGTATGGGAATGCTGGATGACTTGAAGCTTACAAATTACCGCAGCCTCAGCTTCTCCCAGCACGAGCTTTGTAGCATAGTAGATCTCAACCAGGGGTATACATACCCCTGGGGGAACAGAAAGGTCTCCCAGGTGGTACATCAACTTATAAAGATTTTTGCCTGATTTTATAGCAGGCTACATAAAAACCCCTAGCGAAGTCAGTACAAACTAAAATTTCATACAGACAATGACTTGTTTTTACTGCTCTATATACTATAGACTGAAATGTCAGTACAATATTTATATTCCAATTGATTTATTTTAAAATTATATGGTAAAAATGAGAACATAAGCAATTTTTCAGTAATAGTTTGCTGTGACACTTTTGTATTTTTATGTCTGATTTTGTAAACAAGTAGTTTTAAGTGAGGTGAAACTTGGGAGTACACAAGATAAATCAGACTCCTGAAAGGGGTACCACAGTCTGGAAAAGTTGAGAGCCACTGTTGTAGAGAATGGTGCAGGAGGAGGGGCTGTGCAGGGAAAGGAAGTAGACAGATCGTGTATTGACTAATGCATAATTGTCCTTCATGTGGCAGGAGGGAAAAGTTGGCAGCTTCCTACCAGTTGCAGAAGTTTAACTTGGAGCTAAAGGAGCTGCTAGATTGGATTCAAAAAATCAGAGGCTTAATGGAAGCAGGGGGCCTTCCTAAAAGCCCAGCTGAGGCAGACAGCATGATTGAGGAACATTGTGAGAGAAAGGCAAGTAATGATCATTGCTTATAATTGTATCCCCTGGAGAACCTTCCCAGGGTACTGTGATTGGAATTACTCACTGCAGGACACCCCATGACCCTGGTGGACATGCTCCCTGTATCAGATCGTCCTCTCTCTTAAAATAAACAACTGAAAGATGCCAGAATATCATCTTTGGAGACTGAAGGCATCTGTGTATCCCCTGAACAGATACTACATGGGCTTTGTGCCCATTCGTGTTTCTCTAAACAAACCCATTGGTGTGCATTAATCCTGAACTGGAGAGTCCACCTCTAGATATAAAGAGGTGCTTCAGTATCCAAGTCCTTGACCACTCTGCTGAAACTGCTAACAAGGGTGTCAGTTAGCACCAGTTGTTATGAGTTATGTTCTGCGATACAGACAGATATCCACTGGGAAGTGGACTGAGATCACCAGCTTATTTCACACAGGGCACCGAATGGCCAGCAGGCGGTAACTTTTTGTTATCCAGTGATGGCAAGCTGAAATACTCCTTATCCCAGTGCAAATTCCTTGAGTCACCTAGTCCCCCTTTTTTGCAGGTTTCCTACTAGGAATGGGATCACTAATCAGCTTTGCAAAACAATGATCTATAAATATCATACAGTTACTACCTCTTCCTCATCCCAGCTGTTCCATCACTGTTTATCATGCTATTCCCCCTACCTTGTCAGATTTCCTTTACAGTTTTGTTACCTTTATGAACAGGCATATTCCCAGAATCATTAATGAAAGTTATGAATAAAAGTCCACACACTCTGTGGGTCCCAGCACTAACAGAATACAATCCTAATTAATCTTCCAGATCAGGATTTAATAACAAACCCCTGATATTCTCCCTGTGCTGCCAGTTTTCTTTCACGTCAGAAACTATCCAACAATGTTAATAATTTTACAATGCAGTACAGGTTTATTGTACATTCCAAATTTCCAACCATAAAATTGACTGTAATTATTAATGTACACAAAGTTAAAAGCTATGCCCTCAAGGCCTAATAGTGATGGAAAAGTTGGATCTAAGAATCAGCAATGTTAATTTCAGGTGATTAATATTCCATCAACTGACTGTGATGTTTTACATGTCCATCTTACTAAAAAGTGAGTGCACAATGGTATTTACTGAACAATTATTTTATTGTCAAATAGTTTATATTGTAACTTCCACATTAAATGTATAGGTCTCATAGTAAATTACATTTTCTACTTAAGGATTCATTATACAGACATATTGCTACCTTTTTCTCACTTTAGAAGAGAAGTTTAAACATGTTTCACTTTAACACCAAGAAAGAGGGTTAAACAATGTCTGTAATGCAATAATTTGCTGTCAATTTATTTGGCAGGAGACAGGAGAAGAGAAATCTCAAGTACAGTTTGCCATCTAGGGGCCACCCTTTATGAGAGAAAGGGATGATATTATGCAAATTAAAAATCCACATCCATTTAATTCTAAACATTTCCCCTTCTGTTCCCAAACAAATCAAAATCTTGATTTTCAGGGAACCGATATCTCTTGGAGAAATAAGGGTATTTGTTTTCCATATTTATTTGCTTAGACTTTCCCTTGCTGTTTCAGTGACATAGCACAAAGATGAATGGATATTAGTATTGGAAGGTTAAAATACAGTCCATTTCCTTCCCTTAAAGACCTAGATCCTGAATAGTTGATTTTCCATAAACCTTTGACATCAATCTTTCTAATGAACTTTAGGAGGAGATTGAAGCCCGAATGGAAAGATTCAACTCACTCTGCAGCTTTGGTCAGAAACTTGCCAACTCTGGTCATTATGCAACCCCTGAGATCCACCAATCTCTCTCCAGATTTCAGCAAGCCTTGTCTGAACTGATCCAGGCATGGCAGGAGCAGTATGTAAAACTGTTTCAGGCCCAGGACTTACAGGTAAGTGATCGACAAAAAAATGTAGCATCAATGAACCTTCCTCGGCGCATAGAGGGATTTTGAAAAGAATGGGCAGACTTAATTTGGAATTAGCCACAGGTGGTGAGGACATAAGTGTGCATACCCATCTGATAATGTATCATTTATCTATTACACACAAAAAATATATTATAAGAACGTTATTGAGGTTGCAAAGTCAAGCACTCAAAAGTTAGGAATGCCAGAATTAAGGTTGCCTGTACAACCTTAATTTGATCCCTTTGTGCATATAAGAATGGCCATGTTGGGTCAGACCAAAGGTCCATCTATCCCAGTATCCTGTCTTCCATCAGTGGCCAAAGCCAGGTGCTTCAGGGGGAATGAACAGAACAGATAATCATCAAGTGATCCATATGCATTATGATACAGTGTTTAATTACTTGATACTTTCTCCACAGTGCACAGAATGGCTGGTGCTCAAAGAATGAGCAGCTATTCAATATTTAGTTTTCTCCTCCATTGTTCAATATGTGGCTCTAGGCCTTATTTACTGCACACAATTCAAACCATGCTCTGAAGAGAGAATGATTAATGTCCTCATGGGATTTTCTATGGTGCTCGTCAGTATACTGTCCAAGTGCTTCCACTCTTCTATATGGCTCAGAAACATGGACAACTTATGCCAAACATACCAAAAGAATAAACAGCTTTCATATCAGATGCTTGCATAAAATTTCTCAAATAATATGGCAAGACAAGGGTGACAAATGTGGAAGTATTAAGTCTTGCTAGTCATTCATGGGAATGTTGATTAGTAAGAAAAGATTCAGATGGTTTGGACATGTCAAGCGAATGCTGGATTACAGAATCCTAAAGAGTGTTCTGTACTCTGAAGCTCACAAGAGTAGAATTTATTCTACTTAATTAGGACCAGATTCTAATTCCTTTTCTCAAACTGAGTAATACCTTACTCCACTGGGACTCCTCACAGAGGACGGTACTATTCATTGTGAATAAAGGTATTAGATTCTGATGTGCAGCATTAGCACATATGCCACTGATATTTTTGTTGCATATGAGAAAATCCAGTATCCTGAGTCTAAGTAGTTGTTTATACCAGCAAGAGAGTTCTGTTAATAATAGCTAAATACTTACATGGTATACTTACGTACACTGTTTACGTACACTTTTCATGTTCAAGGTACTTGGTCTATTGTAGCTAATTAATCCTCACAATAGTCCTATAGAGCAGGTAAGTATTTACCAGCTCCATTTTTACAGATGAGCATTATCCCTATTTTACAGGCTAGAGATTGAACTCATGGTTGCTTTTTCTCCCCTAAACAGAAATTCTTTGGCTATGTGGAGCAGAACGAGAGCTGGCTCAGCAGCAAAGAGGCCTTCTTGGCCAATGAGGATTTAGGGGTAGGTGAGCTGGATAATGACAGCATTTCCATTGGAGCAGGGAGACATCAGTGAGAAGATAGGGGAAGGTGTGAAATACTCTGACATCCTGTGAGCCTTTTTGAAATCCCCATGTAGCTCTTCCTCATGAGAAGGTCCCCTCTGCATCTTGCTGTTTATGCAGAATCCTGTTTCTTTTATTTGTTTTGTACACAGAAGGCTCAGGCTTTCAACATCAGATATAGTGAAATATTCTACCCACCTCTGTTAGAGATGGAAGCTGGAATTACATTTGTGACCTGTCACATATGGCCCAGGAAAACATATCCATCTTGATTATCACTACAAAAGGTTTTTTTCCCCCTCTCCTGCTGGTAATAGTTCACCTTAACTGATCACTCTCATTATAATGTGTATGGTAACATCCATTGTTTCATGTTCTCTGTGTATATATATATCTTCCTACTGTATTTTCCACTGCATGCATCCGATGAAGTGGGTTTTAGCCCGTGAAAGCTTATGCTCAGATAAATTTGTTGGTCTCTAAGGTGCCACAAGTACTCCTGTTCCATATCCATCAGGGTAAATAACATGGAATATGTCCGGTGTTGGTGTCTGGTGTCTGTCTCTCTGGGGTTTCAGTGTGGATGTACACATGAACAGTACCATCCATTGAAATATGGCAGGAATTCGTAGGAAGCCATATATTTTCCATTCATCTTCAGCTCATGAATGCACAAAAAATATCCTATTGAGTCCTGTCTGCCTTTCAGTTATGTTGCTGTATTTACTGATGATGGACACGCCTCCAAAGATTCATATAAATGTCTGGATATTTAGATACTTCTCTGCTGCATTGTGATCTGAAAACAGGGCTAGAAATTTCATGAAGATAACTTTCCTCAAGAGATTTCCAATGCTTTCTAGTGTCATCCAGGCTGGAAGTAATGGGAGAAACATGCCTGACTAAAGTTATAGTATTTTAATACCTCTGATTCTGAATAGGAAGTCCAGAGAAATGCAAAAGAGAGAGAGAGAGAGAGATCTGAATCATGAAGTTTGGATCACAAAGTTCAGGGGACTTCAGTTTCCATGCTTCTTATCAAACTGGACTTGAGTCATCCAGTTCAAATCTGGATCTGAGCTTTCTCAAAGTTCATAGGTTGGATCTGGTGCTCTGGTTTAAATCTCTCTCTCTCTCTGACATATTTGCTCATTAACCCTGATCCCAGCTTGTCATCCCATATTTATGCACTTCCAGCAGATATTTCTTGCAAGGTTAGATTATGACTAAATGCAGCTCAAATCCACTAAAATGTTAGAGTCTTCCGTCCTGTGGCTTCCTACAAGGGCAAGAGAAATCTCAGTATTGCCAAACCTCAGTCAGCTCTCTGTACCAAGCATCCAGCAGATTGCTCAGCACTGAAGCAGACAGAACCTGAACTGCTGCCCCCACGTGGTGGGTAGAAAATCCTTGAAGGCCAGGGGACCATGGTCTCAAATTCAAAGGCCAATACATTTCCAGGCCAGTTTGTGCGGGAAGGGTAATGTCAGTTTAATTTCTGAGTCCTGAATGTGCTGGGTGGTATGACTCCCATTGAGAGCAGCTTCCTTCTATCAATGGATATTATCACTGAATCCCATCCAGGATTCTGTGCCCAGTGTGGGGAGCCTGCAGCGGAAACACATGCAGTTTGAAAAGACTCTGGAAGCCCAGATGGAGAAGATTGATGTGATGGCCTCCTTTGCACAGCAACTGAGCCAGAGCAAGCATTACGACTCGGAGAACATCACAAACAAGTGTCAGGCTATTCTGAGGAGGTAAAGCCAACCCCTTTCCCGGTCACTATTACCTAGCCTTGCTCAAATGAGACCCTTCCTGCTCTACTCCTTTTTATTTAGATATTTTAGAGGAACCATAGACATTGGTCTGTACTTAGTCCGCACAGCACTTTGTGCTGAGGTCCTGCCACACTTTGCAAGCTAAGGAAGCTTGAGGCAGGTCAGGATTTCCATGGGAGACTTTCAGGGAACACCTTGGTGCTGCAGGAAGAGGTGTTGGTGATTCAGAAAGAGATACATCTCTCTGCGTTTGTACTGAATCAGTGTCCCTGCCTGGTATTAGGGATGCAGTGCTGCATAGACATAGCCCCTTATGGATAAGAAACTAGAGGGCTGTCATGACCAGTTCTGGTCATTAAACATCCCTTGCATTTTTCACAACTGTAAAGGGGTTGACCCAAAGTCCTGACCAAATTCCCAATGGAGTTATTTGTGTCTGTCTAAATTTCACCCTTTAATTTCAGTTGCATACGGTGTTCTTCACTTCTTGTCTTAAAATGTTGCACGTTGTTTTAGTGCACTGTTAAACAGCTGTTCACACTAGGCGTGACTGAAACGATCTGTGTATAGTTTGTAAAGTACTTTGAGATCCTTTAGGATGAAATGGGACATATAACTATATTATAGTGACCGTGTTATCTCATGTATGAATTTACTTGAATACAGTACTCAGGGTCTCGATTACTTGTCACACTTCATACTGTTTCCTTTGTATTTGGTAATAACGGGAGAGGCTACGTTTCAGAATGATGTGGCTTGAATATGATAAACTTCCACGGCTGAACCGTATTTCAGGAACAAGAAATGTTGTAGGTGATCTGCATGTAGGCAGAATGTCAGGATTATCTTGCTGATCAGGTGGCAGCCTGTACAGCCATCCACAGAAGGCATTGGTAGTGCCTGCTGGTGACAGGTATAGTGTGTGCCTGTGCTGTTCACGTTTTCAACGTACAACTTTTAATGGTGCTTAACTACAGAACCCCTGAAATTCCAGTCCTGGGCATCAAGTCTGCCATGCTGAATTATATGGTAGTTGGGTTATATGGATAGGTATCTGTTAGAACATAAAGTCACATTGCAAACCTGAGTTTTGGAGGTGAAAGGCTAAAATGCTAACCACTTATGCTAACTAGTCTCTTCTGCTGTAGCTTTGTTCTCATGTGTCTTTCTTTATCCCAGGAAAGACAAACTGCTGGAGAATGCCCTGGCTCGCAGGCATGTGCTGGAGGAATCCAGGCTATTACAGAAGTTTCTGCGGAATTCCTTTGAGGTACAGTTATATTTTCCTCATGTTGTTGTGATTTCTTAAAACATTTGATGACTCAGTGGTGCTGCTTGGGCATGAATCCCTGAAGTTTTTTAACTAGGAAAGAACCAAGGAACTGAGGCTGGGATGACATCAGGTGAGACGGGAAGATATAGGCGTAAAGAAAGAAAGCACCTTCTTCAACCGTCAAGCCACACCTGCCTCCCCACCTAAAATTCCGTTGCCATTGTTTTTAGTGTCATGTGAGTTAGAAGGAATGGTAGTGGCTGGAGATACAGAGATGACCTCCTCCTCTTGAAGGACAGGAGCAGATTGCGGAGGCATAGAAAGGAGAATTCAGCCATTTTTGCTTTCTCTCCATTCATTAGCCCCACATTTAGATATATTAGAGGGGATCCTAGAAAATGAGATCTGAGTAGCTTCTGAAATTCTTGTCTTCTTCTGTGTCTCCTCCCCCCCCCCCCCCCCCAGGTGGCAGCCTGGATAAATGAGAAGAATAGCATTGCTTTGGATGAGAGCTGGAAGGACCCGAGCAACCTACAGTCCAAGCTGCAGAAACACCAGACTTTTCATGCAGAGATCATGGCCAACAGAAATCGCATAGATGGCATCAAGGCTGTAAGAGATGCAGGGCTGATGTGGAGAGTGGGGGCTGGCAGGAAAGGTTCAGCCAAACAGAGTGTCTGAATCACAGGATATTAAACAAGCAGGGGCAACTGTGTGATCCAGGACAAAATAACTTAAGTTCTAGTTGGTGTTGTCTCACTTTAGAATCTGCAAAAAGGGTGCAATACTTTTACCAACCTCTAAAGTAAGTTTTGAAGTTTAGTTTGTTAATACGTCTCAAGAACGTAGAGCATGTCAGATGGAGGGTGTTAAGAGGAACAAAGAGTTTTAAGGGGAATTATTACTAAAATTTTGCCTTGGCAAAAACCAGCCAGTAGGGGAGGCATGCGGGAAATGTGACAAGCTTTGGCTAGGTATCGGGTATCAGGTGTGTCTGGAGATGCTTATGTGTTTATTTATTTAACCTAAACTCAATACAGTAATTGTTGTTGTTGTGACTGCACCATTCATGTACAAGGTGCTTCACAATAGACACTTCAGAGTTAAGAGTGAAGCTTCAACCCACACTCATCTCTTTGTGCCTGGGTATTGCAGTGCCCGATCCTGTAGAACACTGCAGTGTGCAGCTGCAGCCTTCTCTGAACTGCCTGGCTCTGGTGCCTTTAAACAGTTATTTGAAAGGATCTTTTTTTATGGTTCCTTTATGTAACAAAGATGGTCTGCGAATGATTCTGTAGAGGAAAATCTACAAATGGAAACCTGTTATGGGTTCTTTCCTCTCCCACTTCTCCCCTTTGCATAATTAAAAGGTACTGCAATCTAACTTTAGAAGGATATAATACAAACTTGCTCGTGGGCTGAGACCGTACCGCAAAGTTGCCAGCCTGCTGGATGGTTTTTCCCCAGCTAATCCATAAGCATCTGAAACCGGGGAGTTATAATAGAAATACTGACAGACTCTGACTATGTCATACAGTGCATAAGGAGGTCCTGCTTTTAGCACCCAGAGGTGTTAAATAGATAGAGATGGGTTGATGGGCACCTACTAATGCCATGCTGGCAAACCAGATTTAGTGCCAGCCTTTAGGCAGTACAGATACTGCATACTCTCACCTCAGATGGATCCTCTGCCAGGAGGCTGTCGTGTGTTTTTGTAAGTCAGTACCTGACCCCCAGGCATCCTGTTGCAATAGGTCTCTGGCATTTCAAATAGTGCTAGAGACCTGAAGTCTGGCAAGCTCTACTGCCATCTCAATTCCAGCAACCGTTCTGACTTAGAGTGTTTTCTCCTAGTGCCACCACACCTCACGTGTTCTGGTAAGGGGTTAATAAAGATTGTAGAAGCAGTGGCTTATGGATGTTGATAACCAAGCACACATCTCAGACAAACAGATGGTGCAGTGGGCTAATCGAGAGGGTGGTGTCTGCTGTCTTTGCTGCAGGAGGGAGAGAAGATGCTCCGAGAGGGACATTATGCTCCTGAGGCCATTCAGTCCAGACTGCAAGAAATGGAAGAGCTCTGGGATGAGCTGCTGGGAAACTGCCATGAAAAAAGGACCAAGCTACAGGATGCCTACAAGGTAAAGCTGGAGACAGGTCCTGTTGCCATTTCTTGTGACAGAGCAAGGCAGCAGTGCTAAGTTTCGTCAATGTGCCATTGCCTCACATGCTCTGTCACACCAAGCCACTGGAGCCAAGGAGTTAATCATCAGTGGCACATAACAAATACTACAAAGCACACAGATGCACTGAAGCTTTCAAAAAGAGGTGGGAACCCCACGGAGAGAAGTCTGTTGCTGCTGCTATGTTCTCGTGTGATGTCTGCTGGTAGAAGATTTAGTTTAGAGCCAGACCTCCGGAGGAGGATGCAGAGGCGATATGCGCTGAATTATCACATCCACCAGCTGCCTTGGGCATGTCAGAGAATCAGAACTGGAAGGGACCTCAAGAGGACATCTAGTCCAGTCCCCTGCACTCATGGCAGGGCTAAGCATTATCTAGACCATCCCTGACAGGTGTTTGTCTAACCTGCTCTTAAAAATCTCCAATGAATGGAGATTCCACAGCCTCCCTAGGTAACTTATTCCAGTGCTTAACCACCCTGACAGGAAGTTTTTCCTAATGTCCAACCTAAATCTCCCTTGCTGCAATTTCAGCCAACTGCTTCTTGTCCTAGCCTCAGAAGTTAAGAACATTTCTTCTCCCTCCTCCTTGTAACAACCTTTTATGTACCTGAAAACTGTTACCATGTCCCCTGTCAGTCTTCTCTTTTCCAGACTAAACAAATGCAGTTTTTTCAATCTTCCCTCACAGGTCATATTTTCTAGACCTTTAATCATTTTTTTGCTCTTCTCTGGACTTTCTCCAATTTGTCCACATCTTTCCTGAAATGTGGAGCCCAGAACTGGACACAATACTCCAGCTGAGACTTAGTCAGCATGGTGTAGAGCGGAAGAATTACTTCTCATGTCTTGATTACAACACTCCTGCTAATACATCCCAGAATGATGTTTACTTTTTTTTGCCAACAGTGTTACACTGTTGACTTGTATTTAGCTTGTGATCCACTATGACCCCCAGATCTCTTTCCGCCATACTCCTTTCTAGGCAATCATTTTCCATTTTGTATGTCTGCAACTGAATGTTCCTTCCTAAGTGGAGTACTTTGCATTTGTCCTTATTGAATTTCATCCTATTTACTTCAGACCATTTCTCCAGTTTGTCCAGATCATGGTTTTTTGTATTCTGTGAATTTGTTCAATGGACTGTGTTCTCTACATTTGCACACCCCATCAGAAGTGAGGAGATAGTTCATTGAGCCCTGAAAGGTTTTTGAAAGTGACATACATGCTCCTTGACAGAGGGGGCTGGGATTTTTTAACCCTAAATGCCTGCTGACATTTGCTTCCTGCTTGCACCCAGGCCCTGCATTTCCAGCGGAGTGTGGAGGATATGGAGAAATGGCTGGAAGATGTGGAAAGCGGGCTAAAGGCTCCAGACAGTAGCAGTGACCTGGTGGTTTTGAATAGTCTCCTGAAGAAACATGGGGAATTGGAGGAAGATGTTGCTAGCCATAGGGATCGGCTACAAATGCTTGTGGACACAGCCCGTGAATTCCAGCAAGAGAAGCATTTTCTTGCAGATGAGATACAGGAGAGAGTTGATCAGGTGGTGCACAGGTATGTGAGTGTCTGCCCATTTTCTCACTTCTCTGTCCCCTTCTGCCTTTCTCACCTTTATATTTATTTTCTCACTTCCAAGGCACCTGCTTGTATCAGCTTATGATCTCTCTGTTGTGTTAATTTGGTTCCATTTTAAATCTTGCAGGTACAAGAACCTAAGTGATCCGCTGCAGGAGAGGCGTGGGAGTTTGGAAGCGAGCAGGCTGCAGTACCAGTTCTTCCGGGATGTTGACGATGAGTTGGCCTGGGTTAATGAGAAGCTCCCACTGGCTTCCTCCAAGGACTATGGCCAATCCCCAACAACAGTCCAAAGCTTACAGGAAAAGCACCAGGTAAAATAGCGTGGACATCCCCCCTGTTTGAAGTCAAGCAGGAGAACGTGGGATGGTGCCTATGTGCCTACAGTGGAACACTTCTCCTCTGCTCTGGTTACAGCGAAACCATCACTGCCAGGGATGACTCTTATCCTTGTCTCACCAGGGTGCTCTTTATTGAGCAATTCTGTGCCTTTGTAATGTTCAAGACTGCACCCATGTCATGTATTTTCACACCAATACTCTGTGTAGTGTACCCTGCACTCCCCTTTGGGCTCCCTATCCCTTTGTGCAAATTATTGAGCTCCGACCCTGGCTGTTGCAATACTAAATAGATTTTACAAGCTGCTGTGCGTGCTGGCATGGGTTCTCCAAGCAATAGATGTCCCAAGAAAATATTTTAAAACTCAGCAGATGCATCCAGGGCACATTAGTCTTCCAGATGCCTGCAGAGTGAGGGAGTGACAGGAACCCTCTCCTGCACTTTTTGAAAAAATAAGGGTGTTAACAGGACGTTATTACCTTTATCGCACCATCATTTTAGCAACAAATTTCAAGTTAGTTACTAAAGTTTTTGCAAGGTTCAGATGTGGCATCAGAGACAAGGAGAACCTGGAACTTTGTCATCTCCCATACCAATGAAACAGCAGCTGTGTCGCGCATGTTTTTCACATAGAGTAATCTGCTCCTTTGCAATAGATGAGATGGGAGAGAAGAATTTCATGGTAGGGAGATTGCAACAGCTACTGGTTTTGCTGGGTAACGAGGGGCACTTCATTTCAGTGCCATCCCCATTCTCCTGTTGGTTAAACTTCTGCAATTTGTAATGGGGCTAGGGGCCAGAAGATCTACTAAGAGCTATCATCCCCTGGGAATAGATTTTTGAAACACCTGACACCTGGTGCAATATGATGCAATTCAAGAGGAAAAAAAATCTGCTCTTCAGTATTTTTTTAAAGCCATGGGGTAAAAGTCATGTCCAGTCCAGGTGGTTTATTAGAAAGGTGTGAACTCCCGTGAAGGGTGCGAAAATCATCCCAAATATCCCTTGAATTAAATGGAAAATGTATAACAAAGGGCTGTCAAGCATTCTCCAGCATATTGCTGTGGAGGTCACAGGTATATTGTGAATAATTTATGTTTGATGTAGATTTTATTTTGACCAGTGAATGGTCAAATAGAACAAATGAAATAGGAAAATTTATATTGTTTTAAGAACATGCAATTGGTACGGGAGGCTCATTTCACCAGGATGGAAAGTGGGGACAAGTTTATGCTTCCATTTAAACTCCTCTGTTTAAAAACATTCTGAATGTTGACATTGTAGGGAGGTAGGTTTAGGTCCCTGAAAGGTCTGAATGATTGGGGTTGGATTTGCCAGGGGAAGGAGCTTGGGCTGGGAGGGTGGGGACTGTAGTGATGACATCTTAAGCTGCAAAATTCTCCTTGTTATTTATTGCTGTTTCAAAATATTTCAATAGAATTTTAGTCTGGGGGGAAATAGTGTGTATTACAGTGGCAAAATAGGCCTGCTCTTTCTGACATTTTGCCAGTTCTTCCGATGGACGAGAGATTGGTCCTCAAAGCTTTTAATTCAGATTTCCGGTTCTGAACCTTTTAGTTACTACAGGCCACTAGACATTTTTACACTGGTGGTGTGGGGGATCTCATGTTAAAGATCAGGAACCAGTCTCCACTCTACTGTGAGATTAGTTTCACCCTCTAAAGAACACTGTTGTTTTATTTCTAGTCTTGGTGGGCCAAGTTTTCAAAATTCAGTCCCACCTTTGCTAGCACAGAAAGGAGCGTGAAGGAAATTTGTGAGTAGATATCTAATACCTGCCTCTGCAAATGTGTATTTACCTGCATATACAGCAATTGTGTTCACACAAATATTCAGTTTGTGTGCATAAATGTAGGGTTTATACACACCACTGTTTCCATTTCCTGTGGGTACAAATACAGGAGTTTTGAAAACATGTCCCTAAATATTAAATAGTGAAGTTCTTCTTCACATTGCTGACTTATTATTAATACACGGTACAAACTGTTTGACACTGGATTCTGTTCTGTTGGTGTCAGACATGGTGTCACTTTTCAGCAACATAGTGGCTGCCTATGAGATTAATAAAGGGAAATTAAAGATAACATTAGAATCAGGGCCCCATCATTCACAGACAAGTGATCTGCCGGTTGAGCTAAAAGTATGGCTCCTTGCTAGAGAGGGAATCTCTTCTACATAATGTAAAACTGCAGTGTAACTCTCATTCTGGCTCAATTCCGTAGTAATTACAAATTAAGCAGAACTATTTCATCAGGCTGGGAAATTCTGGGAAATGCCTTGCGTGTAGGGTGCTGTCATTTTGTTACCTACAGAATGCATGGCCCTCTTGACAGACAAGTAAGAAGACCGAGTCCCTACCCCAAAGAGAATGAAGTCTAAGTTACACCAGTAAGACAAGGAAGAGCACCATTGGGTGGGAATGTGTGTGCATAGGAATGAAATGAATTGGTTTGGCAAACACCAGATGTTTTCAAACATTGGGCTGGAAGAGGGTGTTGGGGAGCTGGTTTGAGTAGTTCATGTCTCCTGCCATTATCTCCTTGTCTTGGCCATCGCTGTGTGTTCCTATTGTGCTTCGAAATGCCATTTTGGTAAAGCTGTGTTTCCAGGAATTTTGTTGACGAACTAGAAACATTTATTTAGCTGCTGAACTGATGGAAAATTGGGGCTGTTTCCTAGAAGTTCATTAATTAACTCATGAAGCATGGCATAACCATGGATTCAAGTAGGCATTTCAGGTGGTTACTTCTGGTAACAAGTATTTGTGGTTAGGATATTTTACCTCAAAACCTTAGGGAAGTTTAGATCAGGAGTTGAACTTTGCAGCTACCCTCTCTTTCTGTAACTAGCCAAACGAAACTCTTAGTCCAAATACTCCTCAGTTTCCAATAAGTTATAGTCTGGATCTAAACCTTGACGCATCTTTAAATGTGGAAAAGACATTGATTTGTAATTATTAAATTGACTGACTGGGCTCCTAAGTGCAGTATATAAGTAGAAAGGTCTCCATTGCTTACATTTGGGGTCTCTCATTTGTGCTTTCCAGAAGTTGGAGAATGAGATTAGCAGCCATGATGCTCTAACAAAAGTGGTGGTCAGCACTGGGCAGAAGCTGGTGAGGGGTGGGCATTCTGCTTCCGAGGAGATCATGAAACTTTTGAAGAAGCTGGAGGCCTCTGTAGAAATCTTGAAGGCTGAGGCTCAAGAGAGGAGGAGGAGACTCATGCAATCATATGAGGCCCATCAATTCCTCAGTGAGGTAAGAAAGACTCATTGTATGTGCAAAAGGGGGTCAATTTACGAATTTGCCAGGGTGCCAGTTAGATTTTAAAGCTGAAATCTAACAAATTAGGTTTGTCAATGTATAATAGAATCCAATAGGAGAACCCCTTTTTATTGAATCCAGGGAGCATTAGCTTACTAGTTTAATGTTGGGTTCTTTTCAGGTCAGCTTTTAACTTGAATAGTATTTCTCAAATCAGGACACTTGCTTATTCTTAACCAACCAACAATTTATTAATTCACTCAGAACCACATAAATATATAATCAACAGTTCACCACTCAAATGTACACACACCAGTTGTGTATATTACACACACAATATAGTCCTGAAAGCAATGATTACATACTAGAGTTGAGGCTCAGCAGTTATATCAAAGAACAATGCAAATTACCACAATTTCTTATTACCAACAATTCTCGATTCTTTATTACCTAACACATTTGTCACACTTCCAAATTTCCACTGGTCTTTAAGCCACTTTGAAGGGTGTGGTTACTTCTCTTGGACTAGACTGGTCCAAAAAAGGACAAGTTTTGAATATTAAAAGCAATTGCTTAAGGTTATTGTTTTCAATCTCTCTTAGGCCAATTTGCTTGGACTTATGAAGGTGTTAAAATCTAAAATATGGTTATTTGAGGTCTCCCTAGAGAGTGTAGACTCAGCAAGATAACCTACAGCTATTTCTATTGAGGAATAGAAGAGGAAATACAAACTTTGAGATGAAATCTCACCACTTCTTCTTATCCTCTTAACCAGTACTAAATTTGCAATGAAAGAGGTGCTGGGGCTCAAGCATTTTTTTTTTAATTTTCATAACTGACGTGCCAAGCCCAGAGGTGCCGGGGCTATGAACTGCCAAGCCTAGAGATGCTGAGGCTCAGCCCTCTCAAGCCCTGGCACAAATTAAGCACTTCTCTGAACCCGGGAACAAGGGAGAGTCCTTCCACATGGCTGGCATGGGCGTCGGTCGCACTTGGGATTCTGCAGCTTGTTGTGTTGGGTTCAGTCTACTCCCTGAACACATGATGGCCTCAATTTTTACACTCTAGCATCAGGGCTCATTGGAGGGGGCCACACTGTGATTCCTATGGGACACGTTCCAACTGGGTCCTCAGATTTCAGCTCTTAGTTTCTCTGCTGCTTCCATTGGTAACCAGAAGATGGCATTGGTGTATAACAAATTTCCTTAATCTTTTTCTTGTCTGGAGGTTTTTTAAATTTGATTCATTTCAAGGATTGTATTTTATTATTTGCCCCTACTATCAATCAGGAGCCCCCTTTTAAACAATTTCTCTTAATATCCCAAAGTTATACCCTAGTTAATGTCTTTCAATGTTTCTCCTTCCTTGTGCCAGACAATTCCTATTAGTTCTAGACTGCAACAATTATTTACAATGAAAACCAACAATCCTTATAACCTTCTAAATTTGGAGGACATACTCTGTGCATTCTCTGATTATACTAAGCATTTCACATTATTTAGGACTTACAATAGAACAAGAGGCCTTTGCCGCATATAGAAGGCTATAAATCTAACTCAGAAGGCAAACAAATGTGCAGATTTTAATTTGGGGTGAAAGACAGATTACTCATGGTATATTTGATTTACCAGAAAACAATGTATAGTTTATAATTTGGGGTGAAAACATATGGCTTGGATTTCTTGTGGTAACAGTTTACCCAATTTAACCTTCACTCTTACAGCCACATTTCTAGTTTCTTTAACTGGCAGCTTCCCCACCCATTTCTTGCCTTGACCCACTCCATGTGGAAAGCGGAGTGTTTGGTAACTTGGAATATTTTAGCTAGGTTGGGAGGGAGAAAGAAATTTACACCTATGCAAATAATGAGAGATTCTTGCCTAGGTGATTAACAATACCCTCATTTAGCCATTTAAGTATCTGTAGTTGGGGAGGGGAATGCCTGACCTCAGCTGATATGTGGGTCTTTAGACAGAGCGTCTCACATGATGTGAACTATTTTCTTATTGTCTTCATAGGTGGATCCTATTGTGGGATAAACAGAGGTGGATAGTGTTTCTAATTTTAAGGCCCTGATGGAATCATTACTTATTAATCATTCAAGGCATATCCGTCCATATATCCATTACATCATGAGGCTCTCGTACTGTCCTCATTTTAAAGGGTCATTTGTGGAACTGCGCCTTTAAGAGGCTCTGAACAGAGCCAGTTGCAACTGGTTGTTATGCTATGCAGAAGGCCCAACCATGCTAAGCAGTGACAGGTAGAATTCAGACACTGAATGAAGCAGGCCTTTGTCAGCTTTCTTGACTCTGAGTGGTAGCTGAACACCACCATAGATCAGATGTCCACAGTGCTAACTGGTGAGAGTTCTTGGAGTGGAACAGGATTAAATTAGAATCCCAAACTATTCTTGTGACTTTTCATATTTGTTAAGTACTTATACAGATAGGAGGGAGATAAAAAACTGCTTCCCCAGTTACCACAATGGGGGCCAACTACATGACTCTGAGGACTGGGTTTAGTCTCACAATTTTCAGAATGAAAGCTACTATATTGCATTGCAAGGTCACATCTGGGTTGCTGTCCACTATCACCTTTAGGGTCTCTTGGGCATTACTGCTTTCCAGATTTCTTTCTCATGCGTGAATATCTGTGTCTCAAGTTTATCCCTGCATTTCCAACAGCTTTTGGAAGTGGAGTCCTGGATGACAGAGAGGGGGTTCATCCTTGAGTCATCTGACTGTGGGAAGAACGAAGAAACCACCCACGGGTTGCTTCGTAAACTGGAGGCTACCAAGCTGGATGTGGAAGGGTTCAAGCCCCGCATTGAGAAGCTTCAGGAGACTGGCACTAACCTAATAAACAGCGACAACCCAGAGAGGTAGGAAAACGGAACTGGATTGCTGTTCCGCTTCTAACAGAAACCTGCTAGAACTGAACAGAAACCTGCAAACTGAAAAGAAGAGCAACCCCCATTAACCATTCAGTGACTCTGTCAGAAACACTGTTGTTGGGCGACATTTTAAACGCCTTCTTTCTCACGCCAACAAAAACATACCTTTCATTTTCATGATTTCCTGCTGTTCAGAAAATGCAACAGAACCACATAACAAGCATCAAAAGGTTATAGATCTTAGCCTAGTTTCTCTGGCTTCTGCCTACTCCCAGCAGTTCTCATCCAGACCTCATTTGTTTAAAGGGTCTGAGATCATCATGCCTGGGAATTAAGCAAATCAGTATTCCTCATAATTCATTACCTTTCTCTTTCCAATATGTTTTTCTGTCAGGGGGGAGTGGGGAAGAGGGGGAGAAGGAGCATTCTCTGAAATAGATATTTTAATTTCCTGAGCCAATTGGTTCTCACACTCCTAACATAATTTACCCTATCACTAGATTCTTCCTTTTTCTTGTATTTGAGCTACTGCAGGTTCAGCTTTGACAGCACTAGAGGGCAAAAGAGACACTGTACCAACATAGTAACAGAAATAGTTTTTACTAGCTAAGTACTCTACCCAATGACGTGGCTGGTGATCGTTATTCTTTGCAGTCCAGCCATGCTTCTGAAGCTCCAGGCTGTCCTAGCAAGCTACAAGTCTCTCCTACAGAGAGCTGAGACCCAGAGGAGACACCTACAGGAACAATACCAATTGTACCAGTTTGAGAGAGAGGTCCAGTTAGTGGATGCCTGGCTTTCCAGCAGACTGGTTGTGGCGGAATCAGATGACTATGGGCAGGACTTGGAAGATGTTGAGGTAAAAAGCTTCCTGTCTGGTAGAACAGGGAAGGTATTAGCTTTATTGTATGTATAGCTGGTGGCATTGAAGCACAATATACAGACAAAAATGAAGCAAAATCAGATTCTCTGTTACACACATTGGGTCTAATTTTTGCCTGGTTAACCCATTTGCAGGGCTCTCTGCAGCAGCGTTGACCAGAGGAGAAAGTTGGGGCAGCAGAAAGCTGTCACATCCTCTTTTTCTCTGTGGCAGAGGGCTGTAGAAGGCCAAAATGGAGCCCAGCACTGGCTAGAAAGGGGCTGGAAACTGGGGTTCTGGTTGTAAATCTGTAGCGCCCTCAGCAGAAAAGCCTGAGACAGAGCGTCCGTACCACTAATTGCTTACCTCAAGGTTAATTTCCTTTGAAGGCACGCTGGTGCAGAGAGGTGTAATTTATACTTGCTTCATTGAAGGTATACTTTCAGCAACTATTGCTTGTGGGGAGAGGCTGAATTGTTTGCATTTTCATTGCTGCTCTTGGTTTGTCGTTCTTGGTTGACATATCAGGCCATCAAGGAGGTAGGTGATCTCCTCTGTGTGACATAAGATGTTGATTTCTCACAGCAAGAGGTGCTTTGTTCAGGGGATGAGTGGAGGAAATCTGAGTTTGCTAAGTGATTTACACTGCAGGGAAGTTTTATAGGACATGGCAGAGAAGTGATCAGTTCCCTTTGCCTCCTTCATGGTTGGCGGCACAGGGTTGTGGAAGTTCTTCATATTTGAATCTGCCTCCACATCCTTTTTCTGCAGATGCTGGAGAAAAAGTTTGAAGATTTTATAAAGGAGGTGAAACCTCTGGGACATGCTAAGGTTTTCTCGATAAATGAATTAGCATCCCACCTGGAGAAAGGGTGCCACAGCCAGATAGGAGATATCCAGAGGAGGACCCAGCAGGTCAATGACACCTGGGAGAGACTAGGCCAAGCCATCCAGACAAGGACAGAGGTATGATGAGCACAACTAACTAAAATGCTCTTTGAGCACTAAAGCTCCTGAATGTTCCTACTTCCCTTTCTGCCTCATCAGGCCAGTGCCACTGCTGCTCACGGATGCATTTGTTGCAATAGCGGAAAGGGTGTTGCAGACAGCTCTCTTTTTTAGTTCAAATATTGCCTTATAGCCTTTGTTGACCTGTGCATTATCCTTGACAAAAATGGGTTAGTATTTACCGGTTATTCCATATAGAACATCTTTCAGGTGAGGCTTAAAACTGAAAACTAATCACCTGTGGTCCTTCAAATCCTTTGACACTTTGCATAAGAAGATAAGTTTCAGGTCCAATCTCCTGGCCAGTTGCAATATATTCTGTCTCCCTAAGCTTCCTGCAGCTTCAGATAAATATGGTAACACACAGAACAGGGCCCAGGATTTGACCCAATGTTTGTGTTTGTTATGTGCACAAAGTAAAATATATGATGTCCTTAACTATTCATTTCCTTGTTGTTAAGCACATGGGGTTAAATGATGTGGTACTTAAGTACATTATTATATCTTAGCAGCTTTAGCTGTTTTTTAAAAACAGGTTTTTGATCTTGGAATAAAGGTAAATATTTATTATAGTATTTTTAACCATGTGCCTCTGAACAGCTCAGCAGCTCCAGTGTTACCATACTTTGCATCAGTGTGTCACTTTAGGCTCCTTAGCATCAGAGCAGAGTGTGACCGTGCATAGTGGATGATGCCATTAATGAACCATTTCTTTGTTCAGAATCTAAGAGCAGCCCAGCAAGTTCACCAGTATGACCATGATGTGGATGAGCTCAAGGGCTGGATGCAGGAGAAAGAGGCAGTGGTGGACATAGATGATTATGGATATGACCTGCCCGGTGTGCAGACCCTCCTCAGCCAGCATGAAGGAGTGGAGGTAAGTGGTACAGCCTTGAAACACCGGGAGAAAAACATAAATTAATAAAACCCGGGAGACCCGCACCTGACTCAATGGCATCTTAGGCTGCTCTGTTTACAGAGCTATGGAAAACATGTCTGATCCATTACTGCAGTGGCCATGGTGCCTCATGCAAGAGGCCTTTCATCCTGCTTTTAACATCATGAAACAATATTAGTAAGAACATAAGAACGGCCATACTGGGTCAGACCAAAGGTCCATCTAGCCCCTTATCCTGTCTTCCGACACTGGGCAATGCCAGGTGCCCCAGAGGGAATGAACAGGTTATCATCAAGTGATCCATCCCCTGTCGGCCATTCCCAGCTTCTGGCAAATGGAGGCTAGGGACACCATCCCTGCCCATTCTGGCTAATAGCCATTGATGGACCTATCCTCCATGAACTTATCTATTTCTTTTTTGAACCCTGTTATAGTCTTGGCCTTCATAACATCCTCTGGCAAGGAGCTCCACAGTATTACTTACTGTATTTTTCACTTCACTTAATAGGTTTCAAAACTAAATTCCAACCCAAGCCCAAATAAGTTCAAAGCCTTAGTTTGAAGTGGATGTGGAGTCTCTAGCACTGCAATATCAGTGGCTCCTGGTACTGCCAGCCCATTGCTAGAAAAGAGGCCATCAGAGCCTGATATTTTGCTGCCATTCAAAAGAACCATGTTGAATTCTGGGATGTGGCTTCTTGCTCCTTAGGCCAGCAGGAACTGCTAGTCCTGTGAAGGTAACACTCAGCCTAAGGGAGAATGGTGAGCCTAGATTTTGCTGTACCTAAATTTCTTATTTTTCAACTTAAATGGTGTCACAGGTTCTGGGATTGGGAGCAGACAATCCCTGTGGGCTGGCAGTAGGTATTTATGATGTTTAGGCCAGATGAGGGAGAGGCAGAAAAAAGGACTGAGAGAGCAGGAGAATTGAGATGATCCCTAAGACTCCAGCTGGGGTGCTGCGGAGATGGGGAAGGAATATCGGGGTGTGTTCTGAACATGCCAGACTTCCTCTAGGTTTTGAGAACAGTCTGATCTCAAAATAAAAATAAAAGATTAAATTTTGGAAAGCAGATGTTCTGCTGGGAATTGTTGCACACTTACTTTCCTGACTTTTTCTCTCTCCTAATCCTCACCCTATTCCTTCCCTCTTCCTTCAAAGCCAGCCCCAGTATCACTGGTCTGCATTACAGGGTAGTACCTCTTCCCCCAGTCAAGTCAGCTGACTCCTCCCTGACCTCCCCCCAAATACATCATTTATATTAGAAACAGAGTTTTTGCTGGCCCAGCAAGTGAGGCTCCCAAGGTATCTTCTACCTTACTGCAGTGTCGTTCATGACGGCTCTGAACAAGCTTGTTCAATGGTAAATGTAGGTGAATCCTAGAAGGTAACTGGCAGCAGGCAAAGTAATGAGGTAATTTCTCACTCTGTGGGATCAACTGGGTGGAAGGAGCCTAAAGGTCAAGAACAGTCTGAGATCTGCTTTCAGGATTATTTCTCTGCACTGTCGGTGCTGAAGCAGAACCTAATGCTCTCAATTAGGTCTTGTGATCAATCACTTCTGTGTTCCAGAGAGACCTTGCAGCCATCATGAAAGAGCTGGAGCGGATCCAAGGGGAAGCTCGGCATCTCAGCCGGCTCTACCCTCAGGCCAGGGAGAACATAATGGAGAGACTCACAGAAGTGGATGAATGCTGGGAGAAACTTGACAGGAAGTCTCTGGAGAGGAAGGAGAGGCTGCACCAGGCAGAACAGGTCCAGGGCTACTTCAACGACTGCAGGGAGCTGATGTATGTGTAGGGCCCTTTGTCTGGCAATGGGGCCTTATTTTTGTTTTCCCCAGTGCAGTCTTCTAAATTAGACATTTGACATAGGTATTTATAGTACCATAGGCCATGCCTGCCCCTGTCTGTCTGCAACTTGCTTATGGCTCCCCTTAAATGATAATGCAAAGCATCTTTTCAGCTGCAGTGGCCAGAGTTGATCCCACTATAGAAAAGAACAGATATTTTGGTTCAAACTAATAGGGTTGTTTCTGGAGCCTATCACATATTGGATGTGTCTAGCACATGGGACCATACCACTCTATTTCAGCACAGTGTTACAGACCCGCCAGATTTTGGACAACTTAGATAATACCTCTAGTGTCTTGGAAAATCAAGCACTTTGGGTAGTTCAGTACTTTGGGGTTTGGTTTCCAAATATTGTTGATTCTACATGAGGGCAGAGTGCTTTCCTCAGGCCCTGGAGGTTTTTCGCCTTCCTCTGTAGCATGGGGCCCGGGTCACTTGCTGGAGGATTCTCTGCTCCTTGAAGTCTTTAAACCACGATTTGAGGACTTCAAAAGCTCAGACATAGGTGAGGGGTTTTTTGCAGGAGTGGGTGGGTGAGCTTCTGTGGCCTGCGTTGTGCAGGAGGTCGGACTAGATGATCATAATGGTCCCTTCTGACCTTAGTATCTATGAATCTGAAACTCCAATGCCCTGTGCAGCTGTACAGACCCCATTGCTCACATGTCTAAGAGTCAGCACAAGCATTTCACAGGCAATCTTAGCACAGCTATTTCAAGCATGTACAAAAATTGAAGTATTTTGAGTGGGAGCAGGGAGAGAGATAATATAAATAATATTGCTTGCATGTGCCTGCTGTTGTTTCCCTTCTGCGTAAATAAAAGAGCAGTGTGGGTACCGGAATTTCTCTTTTGCTGAGAATTCCATGATTTTGAAACTGGGTTTTGTTCCAAATTTGAGCAAAACACTGAATTTTGAAATTTCCCACAAACGGAAAACAATTCTGTTTTGGGTCAATGGCAACATTTCTTTCTGATTAAATCAAAACGTTCCATTTTAATTTCAACTGTTTTTAATTTTTTGTATTGTAAATTAAATTCCAAAATCAAAGCACTCCATTGTGATGTTTTTTTCTAAACCAATTTTTTTCCACATCTCCAAGTTCCTGTAGAATGTGTCTATTTCAGTGAAACGGCATTTTCCATGAAAAATGTTTCGTCAGAAAATGTTTGACCAGCTCTATTAAGGGTTATGAGTATTTTCCCAAGAACACAAATGTGTTCTTGGTTTCAGAATATTGTGCGTAAGTGTGTGTAGGTGGGGATACCCTGCTGTGAAGTAGCTCTCAGCTGCTGTTAATCAGCTCCACTGAAGTCAATGGAGCTACCGTGTTTTATACCTGTGGAGGCTGTGGCCTTGTAGGTGCATGCTCTTCCTAAATTTGTGAGTGAATATGATTTCATGCATGCATGCCCTGTGTATGTGTTAAGTATTCTTGTGCATGACAGAATATGAAACTTTAAGTATGCATATAAATGCCCATTGCATAAAAGCATTGTGAATATATACAGGAGATATTCTTCAGGGCATGTAATCTCATGATTCCCTTCTCTAACTATCTGAGTGTATCATGTTTGTCCCGTAAGTATAATATAATTATTGATGGGTCCAGGGTATGTCTGAATGTATGTTTATGCACTGGAGTGTGTCCCTTGAGTGTGTAAATGTGCATTTGGACGTGGATATCTACCAGTGTGTGTGCATATGTGTGTCCCTTGTATGTAAAAAAGGGCTTGTAAATCTGTGCGTATCTCAGTGTGGATGTATAAGTTTGTAGGTGTGTCTGAGTGTTTGTGAGTCATTCCATTTTTACCCTCAGCAGCTTTCGGTGTTCACTGACTTCTTTTGATTCCTTTCCGTAGGGTTTGGGCTAATGAGATGCATGCACTGGTGATATCTGAGGAACTAGCAAGCGATGTTCTTGGCGCTGAGCTGTTAATCAAGCACAATGAAGAGTATAAGCGTGAAATAGAGAAGCAGTGGCTAAAATATGAAGATATGCAGCAGGCAGGGAACAACCTGGTGAAGAACGGACACTTCATGTCCATGGAGGTATGCTGATGATGAGTTAAACATTTTAAAAAATCAGAGTCAGGTAAGGAAACAAACTTAGTGGGCAAACACCTTAATTACAATATTATAGAAGTCTAAGTGAAGCATCCCTGCCAGAAATACTACCATATATAAAGAATATTCAGTAAGTGTTCAGGAGTGAACTTAGACTTCAGAGCCCCCCCCCCCCCCCCTCCAGAGAGTTCGTGCCTCTCAGGGGTTTTCACATATATCTGTCCTTCAAAACAGAGAAGGTAGTTAGGAAAAACAGATTCTTTAATATTAAATATGAAGACAAATTTTGCATAGAGACCTGAATAAGTGGAACACCATTTAGAGTTGTTCCTATCTCCTTCAAAATTGACTCTGAAGCTAACCTGTAAAATTACAACAATTCCAAGATTGAAATATTGCTGGTGATTGTTTATGCTGTGCTGTAGGCCTACATCACACTATACAGTGGGGAATATGTGCCACACGAATACCATCCCTTAAATCTTATTGTCTAAATTAACAAGAAATAGGATAAATAGAATGCAATACAATACAGAACAAATACAGAGTGAGGTGATGTCTTTGCACATGTCAGAGAACATGGGATTCTTCAGAAGCTTTACAAAGGAGAAAAGGGCGAGACGTAACTTTGAAAAACTCTAAGATCCTGTTATCTATGTAATTTCAGAATATGATCATTACAATGACCCCAAGCTTGGCTGGAGATTGTAATTGGACCTGGAGATCATGAAGTTAAGAGTCTCTGGAATTTGTGAAAGATCTCATTTCTGTTGCAAACTTTGCTGCAGAGAGGACTAGACAGTTTTCCACTGGTATAAAAGATAAATCAGTGTTGTCATGCCATGGCCAGATGAATTTGTCTTGTTGTGTGGGTACCCATTAGTTCAGTATTATAAGTTACGCTCTGCAACATCTGAGTTAAGTGTGGCCTGGAAGAATATACAGCAAAGTACTGTTCCTGCCATACATGGAATACGCATACAGATACAGAATATAGTATGAGGCTAAATTAATTCAGTCAGGCAAAAAGCAGGCTCAAACTTCCTTTCTAAATTAGGTTGGGATGGGGTGACCAGATGTCCCAATTTTATAGGAACAGTCCCGATTTTGGGGGCTTTTTCTTACATAGGCACCTATTACTCCCCACCCCCTGTCCCGGTTTTTTTACACTTGCTATCTGTTCATCCTAGGTTGGGACCACAAAGTTCTCTGGAGGTCATGTATGGGTCACATGGTCAGATTACAAGGTAGATGGCTGTCAAATGAAAGTCTAAGTGGATCTTTTATCTCTATATATTGTAAATGTTGTTTTCCTAGATTGAGGAAAAACTGTCAGAGCTGTCAGAGCTGATGAAGAAGGTGAAGGAGAGCTGGGATGTGAGGAAGGAGCTGTATGAGGAAAACTGGGAAATCCAATTACTACGGCGAGAGATGGAGCAAGCAGAGGCATGGTTGGCTGCCAAGGAGAGATTTCTCTCAGATCCTAGCTATGGGGTGAGTAAAAACAGTATAACACTATTAAAATGCCTCTCTGTATAGGCAGACTACTTGAATTGTGCACCATCTCAGGCAACCCCACCCCTGAGAGATTCTGTTTTACGTTAATCACAGTCCAAACATTGATGGCTGAGTAATTCAGTTTGGGGATTTTCAAAAGGTAGGTGCTATGTCCTTTTAAAGGGTTTAGCCTGGGGCAGGAAAAGTAACTAATGGAGTAGTGACCTGTTTGGCAAAAGATGGGGGAGAATTCCTACCCCTTCCTTAGCCTAGTCAGGGATCCAGAAGAAGGTTCTTACTCCTTCATATGAGGGAGTGAGCCTGATTTGAAGAGAAGGGGTGATTTTTCCTCTCTTGGGAGGTGGGAGGGTTTGTGTACATGGCTTTTCCAGCTTGCCCTAGAAATCTCTGTTCTTGCACCAGCTTCAACAGCTTTTTTCTCTGTGGCTGAGAGGGTGGAATGACACTGCCATGCACTTGGGCATGGAGGCCCAATGGAGGGGCAACAGAAGCTCAGTTGTGAGATCCCTGCTGTGGTCGTGGGCAGGGGGCAAGACAGGAGTAAACCATGTGTCTGCCATAAACTGTAATCCAGGAGTTTATCCTGGGTGCCATTGATTATACTGTAGCAGCCAGGATACCACATGGAAATCATGGTACCTTATGCAGGCCATGCTGGTGGTGGTATTGCAGGGTCTTTATTCCACAGCACAGAGCAGAAGGAGGAAGAGAAGCTTCACATGAATTGCAACATTTTTAAACAATTAGTGACTGTTACAGAGGATCATTTCACTGTGAAAGATACTGCATTCCAGTGAGGGCTGTACTGGTGGGTTCCAGTAAGGGTGCTGATGGCTGACAAAGCCAGCAGCTGGGGAGAAAGAAGTCTTGTCAAGTTAGCCTTTTTATTTTCATGTACCACATTCAGCCCAGGGACCACTCATTTTAGAAGAGTAGGTCGAGATTTTGAAAGCCAGCTAGGGGATTTAGACACAAACTATCATTAATTTTAAAGGGAGTTATGTAGCTAAATGTACTCGTTTGCTTTGAAAATCTCAGTCATAGTCTTTTCAGGAACAGTTATTTTTGTCTCACTGTATTCCTGTATCTATTGTTGATTTTTTTTCCACTCAGGATTCAGTGTCTGATGTAGAGGAACTACTGAAGAAACACCGGGACTTTGAGAAGATGCTTGCAGCCCAAGAGGAGAAGTTTGTACAACTGAATAGGAAGACAAAGGTGAGGGGGAAGACGACTGATGGATTAGTAAATGAGGCAGGGGTTTGTCATGGGGTGAGATGGACTTTTTAGGAGGTTGAGGCTCAGCTGCTCCTGTGCTAAACTCAGCTCACCTCCTGACATGGAGATTAATGGTAAAGGACCAGGTGACTAAGAGGAGACCGGCTGGGAAAATAAGAGCAGACTGTAATTCAGAGAAGACTAGATTGACTGAGAAAGACTCCAGGGAGAGCAGACCTGGGACCTAGTGCTCTGCCGAGAGCAGGAGGGCAAAAAGGAAGGCTGTGAGCATAGGAAGAGGCCTTGGGAAGAAGAGGACAATACAGTTTGGACTACAGATGTCCAGCTGCTTAGAGTTCCCAGGGCTGGGAATCTATAGTAGAAGGTGGGCCCTATGCTGTCAGATACATTTTTATAAAGGCCAATAGAAATGCACCTGAAGGTAATCCTAACTTCAATTTACATATGCACTTATAGATCATACATGTAACCCTTGTGTCTTGCAGAGGGAAATGAAGATACTGAAGCAGATTTATGCTGAGGAGAATGGGCAAAAGGAGAGAGGGAAAATCATTAGGGTCCCATCTCTGAGAAGGAAGCCCTCAGACAGAAGGATGCCATCCTCAAGACTGATAGAGATAAAGAGAACTAGACCATTGCCATCTCTATCCTCCTCACCCAGCCTCGCCTTGAGGGATCCCCTTGAAACTATTGTCTCTCCAGTCCAAAAGCCCACAGAGGCATTCCAGCAATTCGGGTCTGGGGAAAATCCAGAGATGTTGCCCAGCACCAATGGAGAAACGAAAGCTGTGACGAGGCTCAGTGAGATTCACACTCAACCTACGCCAAAACTGATGGGCCTGCAAGTAACATCCTTGGGAAGCCACATCTCTCCTCCCAGTCCAGTAAACAGACAAACTGCCACCAGTTTGTTAGAACCATATTCCAAGGACCTCTTATCACCCCATGAGAAAAACCTTAGCAATTACCCCGTCTCTAACCTGGAAATAAAAGTTGTGAAGACTCCACCTAGGTCTAGCCAAAGTTCATTAGATCTTTCTCCACATTTACCACAGTCCAGTTCCTCTCTTGAGAAGTCAGAAAATGACCTTTTGGTAAGTTCATCTGCATTCACAGAACCTCTACAGCCACCCCATTGAAGCAATACCCAGATCTATATCTAGATGGTATTCGTGTGGCACATATTCCCCACTGTATAGTATGATGTAGGCCTACAGCTTAAGGAGTGTGAGAAAACTACAAAGAATGACCATACACATATATATCCCGAGTGATCCAAGCAGCAAGAAACACTTAATGTGCCTTTGCTATATACTTTCTAAATTATCCAGAAAGATAGTGATGTAAAGCAGTTGTATGCCTGCAGTCTATGGAACCTTTTAAATGCCTCACTTCAATAGACATTATTGCTACCTAATATGGCAATGAGTGATATTCTGTCTCTTTCGCTAAGAGGAGTAGGTTGCTCACAAAAACGTCTTTCCCCTGAAGCCAAGAAGCATCTATTCTGACTGATACTTTCTTTACACATACTTGGCATGACATCTAATCTCCATGATGAGACTGTCAGGTTAAATCTTGTCCAGTAATATTTTAGTTGAATTTATGTCCTAGAAAATATATCTTGCCATTTATCACTCTTCACTTTAATGAATAACAAATAGCATTCAAAATAGACCGACTTAATTGAAAAATGCAAATATTAATCTATAGAACCAAACATTTGCCCAGCTGCATCCACTGAACCTCTCATTTGCTTGTGCAAATAGTGAGTGCCAAACTAGATAAACTTATGCCTTTGGTAATTTATATTTTACATGTAGCTACCTGATTTGACTACACACAGGTGGGTTTTTTGTGTAAGATTGAAGGAGACTGATACACAAAAAGAATATTGCTTTAATTATGCAGCCATTTAGAACAAGTTTGAACAGTAAAGGTTCTATGTCCTAATACATTAAAAAATACATTAAAGAACTTTACTAAGGTCTCAAACTAAGCATTCAGACGTTAAGAAATGCCAGAATTAAAGCTGACTGAAAAATAGAATTTCCGTCCTGTGGGAAATTCTGAGATTTCTCAATCTCATTTCATCCCAAAATGATAAAGTTAAAATGAATCATTTCAATAACTTTCCACAGAAAATTTTGACAAAATTAATGTACTCCTGCAACGTTTCCATTTTGTCTAATCAGCATTTTCCAGTGGAAACCTGATTCATTGGAAAGTTTTCACTTAACTCTAGATCAAATAAAGGTTGTCTGTGCAACCTTAATCTGGCTCCTTTGTGCATATGCATTATTATTAGGCTTGGCAGAATCTGAGGGTTTTTTTTAAATAATTTAGATGGATAATATTGATGCTTATTTTTAAGCATTTGTTTTAGATTTTTATTTATATAAATTTTCAGTGGAAAGAAATTATAGGGGATTAGACAATGGGGGGGGCGAGAGAATAATTATTTAATGACAGTAGACATTGAGATTCAAAAAGTTAAAGCTTTATAACCATTAAAATACAAATTGTCCACATCACATGTCAAAATATACAAAGTGAATATCTTAAACATATACATAAACACAAATATCTTAAAACAAACTCTAGTAAATTCTTTTAAGCATCATTTTTCTTACTTCACCTATCTGTAAATTTTGATTACTATCAATGGAAATTTTTTGTTTGTCTGTGTGTGGATGGTGAAATCGACATTTATTGATAAAACTCTAGTCCTTTCAAGCCTAATTATGATACAGTCTTTATGATACAGTCCTAGTTTCTCTACCTGCCCCCTCCTCGTCCTAATCTTTGGCTCCTTGTCCCAATCTTTCCACCTGTGCCACCTCCTTCAACTTCTTCTCTAACTCAGTCTTTTTTTGAAATGAACAAAACGATATATTTTTCATATACCTCATTTTGAGAATAGCTGAACCAGTTTTACTGACATTTTTCCAAAAGCTTCAGCCTCAGGCAGCCACGCAGAATCAAAAATTTCAGCCTGAATTGATTAAAGTTTGGCAAAGTTATGAGCACATTAAAACAGGTTAATATTTTGAAAAATGTTGGGGACCCTGAACTGTAGGTGTTTCTACCTGTACCACATATAATATACTGGTTGTTTTTTCTCTATTATCAATCTCTGTGCAATTGAGCACCCTTTTCTGAATGCTAAATGATGATGTTATAACACAAATTGCCATATAACAATAAAAAAAAATTATTTTTTGCAACAGCAGTAAAGAAAGCTAATAGAAGTTGGCTTGATTTGTTTTAAGAGAGTTATAGCATGTAAATCAGTAAGCAGCAGCATAATATTCATGGAAACACTGAGATTACATTTGGAATACAGTGTCCTGGTTTTGTTACCTTACTGGAATGCAGAAATTTAACAATAGAAGGCAGAGCATACAAAATAAGGTAGCAGGGATGATAAATAGAATGGAGGGACTCATGTATGAGAGGATATATTGACAACACAGATTATTTAGAGAAGTACATTAACTAAAGTTTATTATAAAATTACACTGATGATCTACAATAACTGGTCAGACCAGTACTAGCGGATATAGGTATACATTAAGAGGGACCATATGAAGATTATTAAGAAACTCTTAATGGTATTTTATTGGTGAATGGGTGAAATGGTAGTATTAATGACATAGCTCCCCAGACATGCCAGAACTGCATAATATTTTGTTATAGAAATATATGTATGATACAATACTATTGTCATTTCATTTTTAAATAATAATTTTTAATTATAGTAGTGCAAATTAGCATCCAAACCCATAAAACAGTTCTTTTTCTCTAGCAGTCTATTCTACCATACAGTGCCAGAGTCAGATCCCTGGACAGACCTTCAGGCAGGATCTAGATGACAGCAACCAAAGTAAAATATTTTGTGAAGGATTCAGATTCACTTCTAAGCATTGTTTAAAAACATACGTGTTAAGATTGCTTCATATAGTCACATTATATTACACCACAAAATGCAATATCACTCCAAGTAAGCTTATGTGTAGAGTGAGAAAGAGACCTTTAGTACACTGTGGTGAAACTAATCATATGAGTAGATTGTCCAGTGTAGGTCTGAAATATCTTCATTCAGGCACTAAATTAGATTTGTGAATGTGATCTACAGAAGGCTTCCAGGAGCATAGAAAAGGCAAAGGCTAAAGGGAAAACAATGGCCCGTTTGGGATATATCTGAAGTTTTGAAAAGACTTCTCTAAAGTGAAACTGTAATGTCCTTGTGTGTTTCAGGTTTCTGTAGGTCACCAGAACATGGAGGGGTTATTAGAAAAGAGGGACCAGCTCCTTCCAGGACGGAAGCAGGTAGAATCAAATGCACTCACTTCATGTTCAGCCACCATTCCTTGCATTATGACCAAATAGCTACAGAACCTGACTCCATGGGTGGGGGCTGGGAAACCTTCACTGGTGAAGCTCTCAGAACTGAGGTCCTGATACAGTTCCCACAGAAGCCAGTGAAAGGATTCCCTTGACTTCAGTAGGTGTTGGATGAGGCCTGGAATGAACAAGATGTCTGAATTCACTTATCTGCGAGATCTTCCAGCTCTGGCTTAGTTCCCATTGATGGGGCACTTACTGGAACCGGGGTCTAAATGAACATGTAGACTAAAATCCCCTTCAAAAAGAGTGAAGCCCTGATGGCAGAGAGAGCCTCTAATTAAATGAGCTTGGATATTAATTTCTTCCAGTTGATGGTAGTAAATTGGTGGGTTAGTTTCAGCATGTCCAGGGCTGAATGAAATTAAAGATTGAATTCCCCTCTTACCCTAAAATAGAATCCCATTTCCAGGTCAGGGCTGGCATCAGTGAAGTAACAGTGATACATTTACCACAGGTGGGAAATTTCTGTGCTGGTTTTCTCAGTCACTATCTACCAGTGCATAGATTTTTGCTAACAAAGTCTGTGTGCCTTGGACATAGGCAGGACTCTTAGACTGTTATTCCCTGGGAATAATTATTTATCTGAAACTTTTAAGCTGACCTAAGCAAATCTGCACTGGTCTTTATTTCCTATGCAAAATAGAATCTACTGTCACCCTGTTACGGATACACAGGTGAAACCCCAAGTTAAATTAACTGTGTTAGTGAATTCTCATCTCACCCACCCACGCAAAAAGAAGAAATAGAATAAATTCATAACATAAATTCTCCTCACATCTTCCTTAACAATTCCCCCTTCCTCTCTCATTCACCAGACAACTCTTGGCACAATAAAATAATAGCATCTTACATTTAGAGAGCACCTTCCATCCAGCAGGATCCCATAGCACTTCACAAATGTGTCACCTGTTGCTGACATACAACCACCTTCTGGGGTGGAAAGTAGCAGCTGCTTTTAAAACAGTGCACAGTAAGTGGGGAAGAATTCGATATCCATTAAATACATTGAAACTTTAGGCAGATTATAATGACCAAAATTGGAACATGGATAGCGCACTAGAGCCAACTCTCCAATTGGATAAAGTGAAATGGCGTCTTCAAGAAGCAGAAATAGAACGCTGGGTGTATATCTTCACTAAAAGATGGAAGGAACCAGCTGTTTAGTGCTTGCTTCCAGCAGGCTGTGTCATTAGTTCAGCACTGACTTATGTGGCGCCACTAATGGAATCACTCAAACCACTTCCTACAGTGGATTGGGTTTCCTTGGAAATAGCCCAGGGCTGACCATTCCTGGCTCCTGAGTGCTGAGGAGGTCCCAGCCCCAGGTTGCATGGCTAGAAGCTGCATATCGAAATGTATGTTACTGATGTAACTACAGGTACCATTATGATTACATTTTATTATCCTCTTTCTTCATGTAGCCACGCTCAAGGTCTTGGAACTCCTATTATGTAAAACTCAACAAACAAAAACTTGACTTCTACAATGATGAAAGAGAAGCGTCCAAGGTAATTTGTTTCTTGAATCTTCACGTAATCTCCAAAGATGGTTTAAGATTTGTTCCGTGTTTTTCCATTCTAATCTCTCAACTTCTTTAAAAAGAAAACATAGGAAATGAGACATATTTGCTTTTGATTAAATGGGGGTTAAATTCTTTTATGTATCAGTTGGTGGAAACTTAGTCTGATCAGTGCAGCTTCCAGCTATAAGGTTGAGAAAAGGGGTTTTGAGATTTACTGAACATTCTCTCATTTGAGTAGTGCCTTCAAGACACAGTGAAGTACCAGTTCTTCAAACTGTATGAAGGATGGATCTTGTACAGTTCTTCCTACCAGGGGACCTAGTGACAGTGTTAGGAATAGTATGAATGATGGTATCAGTGTGTGTTCACAGTGCGTGGATGAGACTGAATCCTAAAAGGCAGGGCAATTAGGACATTCATTGTAATCTCTTCCTCCTTCAGAACGTAACCACAAGCCCATCAATCAGTGTTGCTGGTGCCAAGTGTGAGAGGCTGACTGACTATGCCAGGAAAGAGAACACCTTTAGTTTACGGTAAATCATATGCCTAGACCTGCTAGCAAAACATATCTGGCTGCTCTGCAATGTTGCAACTACACGCAGCCATACTCATCCAAGCCTATCCCAGAAAACACTGTGGTATGGCAAAGCTGAAGAGTGCTGTATGTGTAGGAATTTGCAGATACTGCAGTTCCTGCCTTTCTCAACAGGACAATAATGTAAATGTTTAGACTAATTTGAATGCCCTTCCTCCTATCCCTGCTGTTTACAGATTGAGTGATGGGGCAGAATACTACTTTGCAGCACCTTCTCAGAAGCTGATGGATGAATGGATACAAGCGCTTAGGAGTGATATAAGTAGATCATCATTTATTTGTAAGGGGTAATTGTTTAGTATAGTGATGATGACAGGAGGGGGGAGGAACTAAAGGATGTTGAAATCACAAGCTGTCCCTTGTGTGGCGCTCTTCCTTTAAATGTGTTTGAGTGTCTCATTTGTGGGGAGCCTAGTTTTCTGGAATTTTAAAAACAAATTCTGTGATTTAAAAAAAACATAAGAATTGGTGGTTTTCCACAATTAAAATGAAATGCTGAACTTCCCTAGCCACAACATATATTAGTATCAGTTGAACACAAGGTTTTATTGATATATTTTCAATTTTTAAGCAAGTTCGAAGCCTACCAGGGCCATCAGTCATTATAATAAAATAAAATTAACAGAATGATCCCATCACAGTGCATTGTTTCTTTACTGTTGTCGATGGCCCTGCTGTTTCAGCCTCTTGTTTTCATTTCTTGTCATTCAGTTTAAGTGTAATGCTTTCCATGCGTTCTACAATTGTCTGCTTATGAACGAAATCTACAGCCTTGCTGCATACAGTACAGAACAGCATATTACCATCAACATGAAATTTGTCCTTGCCAAACCCAGGGACATGGTCTTCAGTGGGGATTTTTACAATTTTTGGCATCTTTTCATAACTTTAATTACTCATGACTGGAGGCTGACATGAAATCTGAAATGCATTAAAACATGAACCCCTCTATGCCATTGAGTAACCTCTGTATGCCGGAAGCAGTTTATTGGAGTATGTTTAGCTATACATATTTAAAGTGCATTCAAAAATCAACCACAAGAGTTGAGATTGCATGCATTGAATAAGTGACACTTGTACTTTCAGTAAAATTTAGTTAATAGTTAATATATGTTTTTATTTTTTCACAAAATGTAAAAGTGCAAATTCCATGTTTTTCCGCATTTTTCCATGGCAAATGGATTTCTAGGATCCCTGCTCGTCTGTGTCACCCATAGAGAACAGTACACACTGAGGCACTTGATAGCTGATGTGAAGGGTACGTCTACACTGCAATTGGAAACCCATGGCTGTCCTGTGCCAACTGACTTGGGCTCATGGGGCTCGGGCTAAGGGGCTGTTTAATTGTGGAGTAGACATTCCTGAGCTCTGGGACCCTCCCACATCTCAGGGTCCAAGGCCTGGGCTGCAGCCTGAGACTGACTATCTTCATTGAAGTTAAATAGCCCCTTAGCCCAAGCTCTGCGAGCCTGAGTCAGCTGGCATGTGCCAGCCATGGGTTTTTAACTGCAGTGTAGACATACTCTTGGGGATCTCACAGTACAGTCCCCAGAGTGACATTGAAAGCCACCTCTTGGTTGTAGTGCGGCTTGAGTCAAGATACTGGCTGGGGAGAAATGCACAATGGCTACTTACATTTTTTCCAGTTTTCATGTAGACAGGCCTTGGCTCTTGCTTGCTCCTTTGTGGGTCCAATCCCTATTCTGAAAACCTCAGTAAACGGTGACGGCTTCTGTGGCATAATGAAAAAGGGCAGAAATGCAGTGATACCTGCAGCTCAAAGAAATATACAGTGGATATAGGAATGACTGACTCTGCCTCTCCTTCTGATTCAAACATGTTTCCTGTATTTTCTTTGACCCTGCAGGCCATGGTAACAGTCAAGGTTCTAAAGTGATGGCCCAACCAATCACTCCAAATACAGAGAGGCCTCAGACCAGACCTTGGAGCTTCCCAGATGGAGGGCCTGCTGAAAGACAAAACAGCAGAGGCTTACTACCCAGGTGGGGACTGTATACTGCTGAGCTGGTCTGATTTCATTTTTGCCAGTAGCTAGGCAGTGCTCAAATACAGGATGATGCCAGATAGACAGGCTTGGTATTTAAAAGACCAGTTCAGTTTTCAGTATTTCACAGCCCCCAGGACTATATAGCACACAGCCCCCAGGACTATATTATGCAGTAACTTCTCTGATTCAGTCCATTTTGAAAGTTACAACATGCTAAAGGCAATTTTCCAATAGGGGTCCTTAACAAGGTCATCCAAATCCTCCCCTTAGGTGATGAACTTAAACTAGGCACACAATGGCCTCTTTACATATTCAAGTGTGAATCTGAGAATCCAAATGCAGCATTTGAACATACTGTTTGTGTCTTTGTGGTAGAAAATCTGGCCCATGGTGTAAATCCATTTCTGCTGCACATGGAGTGTACAGAAATCCTACAAGTTGTGACATGAAAACAGCCCCTATTGTCTACTCTATTGTACTGGAAGGATCCATGCGCCTAAACTTCATGAGCTGTGTGAACCATGGACCTGTGAAAACCCATAGGCTCCTGAAATGTTATAGCACACACAGTATCATGGAAACCAAAAAGACCAGTTTGATTGTCCCAGCCGATTCCTTGTGTTTTGCAGGAGAACTCACTACCTCATGCCTGTTAATGTGATTAGAACTGCAACATGATAATTGCTAGAGATTTCACTAAGTTTACCAGAGAATTGCAGAGAGTGCCCTTACCATCATGATAGTAACTCAACAAATATTTAGGAATTTAGTCTTGCAAATCCCCCGTGGGGTAGGGAAGAATTATTCTCTTCATTTTGACTTGTGAAGCACTGAGGCACAGAGAGATTGTGACTTACCACAGGTCACACAGGAAGTCTACTGTAGAGCTAGGAAATGAATGCAGATCGCCTGAAGCAAAAGACCATCCTTCTTCTCTGTATAGATGTTGTCAATGAGTACCAGATGCGATTGCAGTACAAACACAGATTTACTCATGTTGTTCCCATTCAGATAAATGGGAAACTGACTATTTGACCAAAAGACGTAGCACAAACCTAGTATCAGACTTGCGAAATTGTCAAGAATATTTCCAGCTCAGTCACAAAATCTGTTTACCCCCATTATACCGTTGTGATGAATGATGATAAAATAATTACTGATATTTTATTTGTCCTTCAAATAAAGTAATTCACCAGAGGTGAGTGGGTAGGTGCATTTTGCAAAGTTACTCCTATTCTATATTGCAGACTGGCTATATTAATGCACATATGTATATACAACACATCTTTTCTGTCCAGTGGCTATTTTGCTTTTGAAATGGTTTCATGACTGAATTGTTTCCAAATACTTACTTTTACTTACTGATTTAATTCATGTCTGAAATGTCACTGAGTTTCTGTGGTGCTATTTGTTGACAGGAGAGCTCCTTCCTTCAAAGTGAGACAAGAGAAAGAATCTGAAAACATTCCCAGGGAATCAGAGGGAGACACACATGAGATTATGAAGACACCAACCTCCACCTGTGCCCAGAACCCTGCAGGTATGGGTAATAAGAAACTCTGCCTTGATCTGTGTGAGAAGCACAGTTCTGAGATTGAGAAAACATGTTTCAAAATGTAGAAAGAGGAAATTGCTGTATCACCCAATATATACCACACCCTTCCCTGCTATGTCTTAATCCTGTGCTTTTTCACTTTCTCTGAAAATTTACTGATCCATTTTGACTAAATCATTTTCCCCAGGAGCTTATTTTAGTTAATCATTATACTTCACGTGCCGTAGATCTGCATGTCTTCTGGTTTCACTCCTACAGTAGTTTTCTCTTTATTAGGATTATGAAATACAGGGTGCTTGCTCTCAGGCTCTCTCTCACTCTCTCATGAAATATCTGAGGTTTTTCGCCTTCCTCTGTAGCATGGGGCATGGGTCACTTGCTGGAGGATTCTCTGCTCCTTGAGGTCTTTAAACCACGATTTGAGGACTTCAATAGCTCAGACATAGGTGAGAGGTTTTTCGCAGGAGTGGGTGGGTGAAATTCTGTAGCCTGCGTTGTGCAGGATGTCAGACTAGATGATTGTAATGGTCCCTTCTGACCGAAATATCTATGAATCTATAGCTAGATTAAACACACACAAATCTATGTGAAACGAAGGTGAGGCTTTCAGTGTCAAATACTCAAAAATTAGGAAATGCCACAATTAAGGTCTCATGTGCAACCTTAATTCAGCTGTCTGGTGCGTATGCATCATGACAGCCTTTAATTACATGATGGCATACTATTTTTTCCACAGGAATCCTGCTTCATTCGGTGGACAGTGCTCATGTTTGACTATAGTGGCTCTGTGCCTCAGTTTCCCATCTGTAAAAATGGGAATGATAATCCCTCACCTCTGAGGGCTGTTGTGAAAATAAATTCTATCATGTTTGTGTCTGGTAATGTTAATGTTTACGAGGCACTCAGATACTGTAGTGATGAGCCTCACAGAAAAGCCGATGAGAAAAATGATGATTCTGTGTCCAGAGCAGAGTTTGAATAGGGTGTAGTATAAAATACCTGGGGGCACACACTGAACAAAGAGAAAACAAAATATCGAATAGGTGTTCATTATCTGAGCACCATCCATCCTGGGCACCAAATGAGGCAAGGGTCCAGTGGCAAAAAAATAAGTATGTGATTGTGTAATTAAATAGTGTATCATAATGCGTACACATCAGGGATCAAATTAAGGTTGTGTAGTGTTACTGTGAACTGTTTAAAAGCAGCTGCTATTTTCCACTTCAAAGATAACAGCTGAAATGTTAGTGAGGTGCTGTGGGATCCTTCTGGAGGAAAGGTGTTATCTAAATGTAAGATCGTATTTTATCATGCCAGTAAGTAGGGTTGACCTGTTTGGTGAATGAGGAAGAGAACAGGGGAATCCATCAGGAAGATGTAAAAAGGGTTTATTCTGTCCATTTATTCTTTTTTTCTTCTTCTTCAGTATCGGTTTGGACACACAAATGCCACGTGTTTTTCAGTGTTTATCTGAACACCTAGTCCGCTCTGCCAAATGAATGGGATTGGGTGGTCAGGTGTGAACTGTGGGCAACCCATCTGAACACCCATGGAGCAGTCATGCATATTCGCATAGAGGAGTGTTCATTGGAAATGCCTAGCTACAGATTCATGACTGAAAGTGAACAGCATGACACACTGATTTCTGGATGTTGTCCTCCCTAGCATATGGTCATTAAATAGCTCATTCCTGATGCCTCTTCTATGCTCTCCATGGAATAAGACCCAGTGACTCTCTCACTGAGCACACCATCTAACACCTCCAACACACACACACTCACTACAGAAGTATGATGGGAACTCTGAGCCAGACAGCGCAAGGTAATTAACAAGGTGGGGAAGGAAATGAGGACTGTTGCTGGCACTAAACGAGTGCATAACAGGATGCAATTGTGAATGAGTAACATCCTGCTGCAAATAGTCTTGTAGGGACTGATCAACAGGGCTTGAGACAAGGGGTATCTGCAGTAGAAACAGTCCTGCTTGTTAAATAAAAGAGTAGTTTCAATCAGTATAGCAAAAGTCAGTCGGGAAGAAGATGATGTAACATCAGACCAGTAAGGGGTTCTGCCACTGCCTGTCCTGTAACCTAGGGGGCCTCTGTGCTGTGCAGGTATGGTTCATTTCCCTGACACCACTGGACACCCACAAGCATAAGGTCTCACCCTGGCTCTCACCAGCCTAGTTACTCTTTGCAGGGTGACACCAATGACACTTCCAGTCCTGAGTCTCCCCAAATAAGTCCTCCCCGAGTTCTCAACTACCAGACACGCTATCTTTTCCCCTCTAGTTTGTCACTCCCAAAGCAGAGAAACCAGCCCCCTGGAATCCGCTCACTTTCGCCCACACATTCCAGATGGTTTGCACACTGGAGACCTGCCTGAGGTAAAAATAAACAAAAAGTTTATTTAATAGAAAAAGCACAGATTCAAGGATGAAATGGTAAGGGAAAGAACATATAGGCAAGTTACACAGAAAATAAACATGAAGAAGCAACCTCACGCTTCGCACATGCATATTAAATAAAATCTCTTTTCTAATAAGAGTTACTTACTGCCTTAAAATGATTTCCCAAGCTATAGGAGGGATCCAGCATTCACAGACAGCCTCCCACCTCAAGACTGTCCCCCAAGTTCTGGGTGGTCTTCAGTTCAACCCTTTCCATTTTAAAACGGGTTCCTGTTTTTTTCCCTTCAGTCACTTTAGATACTCAAAGTGGGAAAAACCACCGTCTTTCTTGTTTTCCAAAGACTGGGGTTTTCTTTTCAGTCTCAAGTTGTCTCTATGTCTTTCCATTCACTTTAATGGGCCTCTGGTGTCCCTTCCTGGGCTGGAAAATGGATAGTTACTTGAAGCTGGTTTCATGTAGACACTTTGGGAGGTGTTCCTACCTTCCTGACTGCTCACTGCCCTGCTTTGAAGTGGAGCTAAAGTTGCAGTGTAGTTTTCTATATATACAAACACATAAATTCACAGTCATAGCCTGTATACATATCTCATAATGATTGAGTTTAGAAAGGGCTGTGCTTGTTATATTTATAATACACCACCATTGCATGCAATCAATTGATTTTACTGTTTATTTTGGGGGTTTAAACCTGTTCTCACACTGGAGTATCTAGACCCTGATTGTTAAAGAGGTAACCTAGTTAAAATTTGCCATGTAGTCCCTGCAGCTAGACTCATGCAATTGTCATTATCAGCAAGAGTTGCAGTGTTCCCAATAAGAAAAGGAGTACTTGTGGCACCTTAGAGACTAACCAATTTATTTGAGCATGAGCTTTCGTTTACAACATATCAAAACTAGCTTTTTGTTTCCTAGCTCCTTACCATCTCTGCTCTCTGACGCAGATTACACAGAAAGCTTACATATAGCAAACTTCTGCCTCGAGAGTCTTTTGTTTTAGTAGTGTCTCAAACTATCATTGTAAACACTGAGAGCAGGGAGCTCAGAAAGGAAATCCAGGTGCCAGAAATCTCCCCTGGGAGAGTTTACGAAGCTGGGGTTATTCGACATTCACATCATCCTGGTGAGACCCTAGATTGACTAGGAAACATGCTGGGAGTCCTTGCGGGATGATGGGAGCTGGAAAAGGCACCTCCAGCAACAGTGTCTGTACGAAGTCCTTTCAAGGTCTCACTGCACTGTTTGTTGGTCTTTCTCGCGGTTCTTACATTTCTACAGCTGAGAAGTGTGTCAGACACACACGAATTATTAGCTTTTCTTCCACGTGCTCCACAGTGCACCCAGAAAAGCGGCTACCTGATACTAAAGCTATACCATAAAAAGCCTGCAACCATATCATGAGACGCCAGCTCTTTTTACCAGAGGGCAGTGGGAAAGCTTTATCCTTTCCAGGACTGAGACTAAAAGTTAAATATGCTGCTTCTTGGGCTAATGGCACAAGCCATTGTCCAAGCAAGAGTTTTACCTATGGCATCTTTCACTGTGAAGCATCCATGAAGAGGACGCTAGACTTTTGGGTAGTGGTATGTGTACCATGCTAGCATTACCTCCCCCTCCCAGGGCCCTCTGGAATTCAAAGTTACATCACCGTAGCTTCTACCAATCCATAGCAGAGAAGGAGGACTATGGCAATTGAGAATTAAGGTCTGGATGCTACTGCTATGAAATGGCTTGGGTTAGCCTGCTGTAGGGAGGCCTAGAGAGAGCCTCCTTGACATGCACATCTGAGGGTGAGCCCATATTCCGGTGTTTCCTATCTCAAGAAAATGAAAACATCACTAATTCTTTTTCAGGAGCCAAGGCTGAGGATCAGAGTGTGCAGACCAAGCGCTTAGCAAATCCACTGACCCAGATGAAAGAAGATCTAGCGATTGAGGGCAGGAAGGAGAAACCCAAGAAAGATAAGAATGTCTTTCAAAAGCTTTTTTCCAAAAAGTAAGAGCCGCAGCACAAGAGAGCGCACACTCTTCAGTTTTCTGGATGAATCAGACTGTTCCCCTTCATAGCACCCTATTGCCTTGGAGTCCAGATGGACGGTGAGCAAGTGAAATGTGTATGGGAGAAGGGAATGCTCAAGCATCGGGAATAGACCCAGCACTTGGAAAAGAATAGAACTGTCACTGTTTTAACAAATTGAACTTGGGTGGATCAGTGTACCTGGTTCTCCCAGGCCTACAGAAGGCTTTTGTTTAAATTGAATTACTTTGATGCTCATGAATGTGAGGAAATAATAGTGCTGGCTAATGTCTGGTATACTCCTTATCCCCACCCATCATGACAAATTGTGTGATGATGACTAATGTCTACCAGGGACCAAGATGAGATACGACTAATTCATATCCACTTATTGCATAAGCTGCACTTTGATCCCAAATTTCCATAGATGAACCACTACTGTATTCACACACACCCCCACCCTGCACGATGTATCCACCCAATGTCTTATTTTACCTCTAAGTTCTAAAAGAAAGGTGCCGTTGATACCATTGTGTACAGTTGTGACAGCTTAAATGCACACAGCTTGCCATTACTGTTGTGAGTGGCACTCTGTGGAATCACAGTACAGAAGTGTAAGAACATGGAATCATTCCATGAAGTGACAAGAATCATTTCTGCAATGCTTTTAGCTGTCACTATGAAAAGAGAGAGAGGAATATTTCCTACTCATATTAAACTTTCAGGTGTTGCTAGATTCTTGCAGAGTTCCCCATCAACTGCCAAAATCAATTCATTCAAGAACCTCAAAATGCTGTGGGATTCAATTTAGTGTCTACAGCTCTGTCTATACCCTTAGTTTCAGGATTCTTTATTTTGCAAATAATTTTCAATAATAAAAGGGAGGGGGGCACCAGATTTGAATGAAACATAAGTAACTGTGGAACTAAAATGAATGACTTTCCTAAAATGATGTACACTTGTGTGTGATGCTAGCCAAATAATCAGATAAAGTTAAAAACTTTAGAAGCTGTGTTTAGATGGCAATTTCTGAGGCAATTTTAGGGGAGATGCGTTCACCCTTTGCAACAAGCAAATAATGTATAACGATGGAATCAAGCTGTCTTAGGTTTTTATATGGCAACTACCACCGTGGGATGAAAGCCCAGGAAAGGGAGCATATCGTAAGGAAAATCTGAATGTCATCTGGTAAACTATTACTGCAGCTATATGGTAATATGCTAATACTTCAAATTTATCAGCACCCATGCTCAAATGAGCTTTAATGATAAAATACAGATACAAAACTTGGGTCAATCTAGCAAAGGAAATTAATGGAAATTCTGTCTTCCTTTAATTGTTAATAACTGCAAACGGTGTTCTAATGAAACCTCAGATTTTTTAATCAATTCATTTTGAATTTCTTGTTCAGTCGCTAGTAAAAAGTTGTAATCAAAATATTTTTTCCCGCTTCTATTTAAATAAAGTCACCCAGTGGTAAAATTATGACATCTTTCAGTTGTCTGAATTCTTAATAGCCTTGTTCAGGAACCTGTTTTGTGCTTTTGACTGCTAGCCCACTGGAAAAGACTGAAGTAAAAATACATTTTTCACTTTTCTTACACTTCAATGCCAGTTGCGATACAGAATTTCATTCCTTCCCGTTCTTAAAATCGGGTATTATAACAAATCCTTTAGAGAGTGCTCATAACAAATATAAGTAGACACAAAGTAGAACAAAATGCTGTTCAATGTTTGTTTATGCATGAAGTTTTTCTCTAGGCCATTGCACTTTATTCACTTCTTCACTTCAAAAGACTCTTATTTAGCAGGTAAAAAGTACTAATATTTTTCCCAATCAGTGGCTTAAAATAAAAAGTATGGCAAATGGCATGGGGTGAGGGGCGGAGAACCAAAATTCTACCTATTCCTGGCCTCTCCCTGTCCATTCATCTTTGAGGGGAGGAGGAATAGGAGCAGCTCTAAGTGCGTGTGCAGCATCCTTTACCTCTGAGGACCTGGATCCAAATGAGACTGGGAGGAGTGGTAGATACGCTGGAGGGGAGGGATAGGATACAGAAGGACCTAGACAAATTGGAGGATTGGGCCAAAAGAAATCTGATGAGGTTCAATAAGGATAAGTGCAGGGTCCTGCACTTAGGACGGAAGAACCCAATGCACAGCTACAGACTAGGGACCGAATGGCTAGGCAGCAGTTCTGCGGAAAAGGACCTAGGGGTGACAGTGGACGAGAAGCTGGATATGAGTCAGCAGTGTGCCCTTGTTGCCAAGAAGGCCAATGGCATTTTGGGATGTATAAGTAGGGGCATAGCGAGCAGATCGAGGGACGTGATCGTTCCCCTCTATTCGACATTGGTGAGGCCTCATCTGGAGTACTGTGTCCAGTTTTGGGCCCCACACTTCAAGAAGGATGTGGATAAATTGGAGAGAGTCCAGCGAAGGGCAACAAAAATGATTAGGGGTCTGGAACACATGAGTTATGAGGAGAGGCTGAGGGAGCTGGGATTGTTTAGCCTGCAGAAGAGAAGAATGAGGGGGGATTTGATAGCTGCTTTCAACTACCTGAAAGGGGGTTCCAAAGAGGATGGCTCTAGACTGTTCTCAATGGTATCAGATGACAGAACGAGGAGTAATGGTCTCAAGCTGCAGTGGGGGAGGTTTAGATTGGATATTAGGAAAAACTTTTTCACTAAGAGGGTGGTGAAACACTGGAATGCGTTACCTAGGGAGGTGGTAGAATCTCCTTCCTTAGAGGTTTTTAAGGTCAGGCTTGACAAAGCCCTGGCTGGGGTGATTTAACTGGGAATTGGTCCTGCTTCGAGCAGGGGGTTGGACTAGATGACCTTCTGGGGTCCCTTCCAACCGTTATATTCTATGATTCTATGAGACAGCTCACTGGGCCATGCAGATGTGCAAACAGATTGTGAGCCATGTTTACATGGACAACATGGATACACAGCTTTGACATGTTGTCCACACTCTCACTTCAAGGGGGTCAGCAGGCGGGGGTTGGCTAGTGACTTATTTTAGTTCCTATTCTGCTAAGGTTTGAATTATTATTATTCGTGCTAGTGCACATGGTGATGTAAAGCATCTTAAGTGCACAGCTCCATACATCAGTGGGTCTCAACCTATTTATCAATATGTTACCTGGGCAGCAGGTTGGGAACCACGGCGCACCCCCCACCCCACAAAGCCCCCATGGACCCATATACCCAGCACCTCACGTCCACAGAACCTTCCATGAAGGGAAGCCCTGGGTGGGGGGCAGGCTGCACGGCCCCTGGACCCCGCTATGTGGGGCCAGGTGGCAGGGCAGCTGGGTGGCAGTCCTGTGGGGCCGTGTGGCAGCCCTGGACCCCATGGGCCTGGCTGGCATCCCAGAACCCCAGATCCCAGGGAGCCAGCCTGCAGCCCCGGACCTTGCGGGGCCCACCGGCAGCCCTGACCCCTATCCCATGGTGCAGATCCTGGACCCTGCGGGGCCAGCTGGGAGCCCTGGACCCCGCTGGGCTGGGCAGCAGATCCTGACCACAGACCCTGAGTAGGGTGACCAGGTGTCCCGTTTTCAACCGGAACACCAGGTCGAAAAGGGATCGTGGTGGCTCTGGTCAGCACCCCTGACCAGGTCATTGACTGTCCGGTTGGCAGACCATGCAGTGAGGCTGGCATGCTCCCTGCTAGCACCGTGCAGCTCCCCGGAAGCAGCTGGCATGTCCCCTATCTGTTGTAGTGGCAGCCAGGGGGCTCTGCATGCTGCCCCCACCCCAAGTGCTGCCCCACAGGTCCCATTGGCTGGGAACCATAGCCAATGGGAGCTATGGCGGTGGCGCCTGAGGATGTGACAGTGTGCAGAGCACCCTGGCTGAACCTCCATGTAGGAGCTGGAGGGGGAACATGCCACTGCTTTTGGGAGCTGCTTGAGGTAAGCACCGCCTGGGGCCTGCACCCCTGAGCCCTCCCCCCTCTCATGCCCCAATTCCCGCTGCCCTCTGAACCTCTAGGTCCTAGTCTGGAGCACCCTCCTGCATCCTAAAACCCTCATTCCCTCCTCTGTACCCTGAACCTCTGAGCCAGCCCAGTGAAGATGAGCAAGTGAGTGATGGTGACAGAGGGAGGTGGGATGGAGGAAATAGGTGGCAGGGCCTTGGAGAAGGGGTGGGGCAAGGGTGTTCAGTTTTGTATGAGTAGAAAGTTGACAACCCTAACCCTGAGAGGCTGGACAGCAGCCCTAGACCCTGTGGGGCCGGGCAGCAACCCTGACACCGACCCCGGACTCTGCGGTGCTGGCCAGCTGGCATCACCCAATCCCGGACCCTGGATCCTGCAGGGCAGGGCAGCAGCCCGAACCTCAACCCCATGAGGCCAGCCAGCTTCGCACGGTCCAGGGCCTTATTGGAGATCCTGGGAGGTGGGCGGGCACAAGCCCACCCATGTCTAAAAGCCCCTCCCCCAGCCTTGCGGGAGGGACCACTGGACCTGGGAACCAACTGAAAATGTGGGACAACTAATGAATAACAGAATGAAGGTCACAGGTTCAAAACTAGGAATCCAGAGTGGGACACTGAGCAGAGAAACCTGGACAGCACCCACTGCTCCTCAAAGCTGTCTAGGGAGCCAGCAGACGCCACGCAGAGGAACTCTGCCTGGATGCGTTAGACCAGGGAGGACCGGAAATAGGCCCCACAGTCGCAGAGCAACCCCTTGACTAACATCCTTCTCCTGGTGTTGAAGATGGCCACTTTGGCCAGGGCCAGGAGGTGGTTGACAAGGAGGTCTCACGACTTGGTGGGGCCATGGACAGGGTGTGCAAATATAAACAGGCGTGGGGAAAAGTGCAGCCAGAACCTCAGCAGAAGATTCTGGAGGAGCCAGAATAGGGGCTACAACCTGGTGCATTCGAGATAAGCGTGTGCCAGGTTCTCCCTCACGCCACAATCGGGGCAGGCGTCGGGGATGGGGGTGAACCACGCCAGGTACAGGCCCGTGCTCACGGCTCCATGGAGGAGTCGCCAACAGATATCCCTGGCAGGCCATGGGACATGGGTGGAATAGAGGCTGGCCCACCAGGGTTGCTCACCCTCCGCAGGTGGTAGACAGTCCTGCCATTTGGTATCAGGGTGGGACATGAGGGTGAGGAAGTGAAACAAGTGGCGCATGAGCATGTAGAGTAGTTTCCTTGGTGTGGTTCGGAAGCAACCTGGCTGGAGGGCATGCAGCAGGCTCGAATTTTGGAAGGGAGCGGGCCAGGAGGGCTCACAGGACCGGGGCCCAATTAAAAGACCCGTAGGGCTTGGAGTGTGAGGTGGGCGGGGTGCACCCTCTCGCAGTACCCGCTCAAGGAAAACCCAAGAGGCAGATGACAAGGCTGCCCCCACCTCTTGGAGCATGCGCAGGGGGGTCAGGAGCATGGCAAGCTCCATGCGCCGACCAAGTGCTTGGGAATCCACCGAGTTCTCCGATTCTGGTGGTTTCTGCCAGGACCAACCACCAGGACACCGAGAGGGACTCTGCCACCTGCACACGAAGGTAGGGGTTGTCTAGCAGGAGCTCCACGAGGAGGTCCATCCCCTTGGTGGCCACAACAGACCTGGTCGCCGAGAACAGCTTCCATGTTTGGAGGAGGTCCTGGCAGAAGGTTGGCAGCTCAGAGAGATCTCGCAGAAGACCCCCTCGGGTGAAGAAAAAAGAGCTGCCAGTCGTATCAGAGCCCTTGGCGGCGGTGGAGGAAAGTGAGTGCCAGCGTCCTCCATGCTGGACTACCTGAATCATAAAAGAGTCTCTGCACTGCCTGGAGGCTGAAGACATGGTCCTGGCTGTGGAGGCAGATCAGGTCCTGTGCTCCCTCCTCCAGGGGAAGACTCAGGACTCCTGCAGAGACCCAGTGCAGTCCCAGCCAGAAGAACTCCAGAGCTACCCTGTGAAGCTGGGCCAGGATCCCCGGGACTGGGCTCAGGGTGATGAGCCAGTGCCAGAGAATGGACAAGACTAGATGGTTCAGTACCAGTGCCCTCCCACACAGGGAGAGGCACCGGAGGACTGCTGTCCATCTCCGCAGCCGCTCTGGTCTCCAAATCCTGCCAGTTCTCTGGCGCAGAAGGATGCATGGCAGAAAGGTAAACGCCTACGTAGAGCAGTGGACCTGCACTCCACCGAATGGCTTGAAGCGTGGGTGGGAGGGAGCTCATGTGCCATCCTGCCCCTACCATCAGGCCAGAGCTCTTGATCCAGTTGACCCAGGCAGAGGCAGCCATCAAGTAGGTCGCCCTGCTCCTGGACCACGAGAAGCACGTCATCGGCGTATGGCTGACAGGCCAAGCCGCAACTCTGGCTCCCAGAGCACCAACCCCCGTCAACCTCCAGCGGAGGAGACAGAGGAAGGGCTCTATCGCCAGAGTATACAGCTGGCCCAACACCTTTGACACACCCCTCCCACCCGAAGCTGACCAGCTCGG